GTTAGGAGGCGGGTGGGAAGCACTGGGAGGGGAAGGAGCGGGGATGCGGCGAGCTTGAGGGAGGAGGAGGCGAGGAGATGGTGGGGGGAGCTTGGCTGCCACTGGGTGCGGAGCACCCGCTAATTTTTCCCAGTGGGTGCTCCAGCCCCGTAGCACCCACGGAGTTGGTGCCTATGGGCTGGTGCCAGATGCTTCAGAGGGAATAAACGGAACAGGGCAATTACGGTTCGCTGTCCCAGGCCAATGGGGGCGGCGGGAAGCGGTACCCAGTACATCCTTCGGCCCGTGCCACTTCCCGCCGCCCCCATTGGCCTGAAGCAGCGAACCACGGCCAATGGGAGCCGCGATCAGCCGAACCTACAGACGCAGCAGGTAAACAAGCTGGCCCGGCCCGCCAGGGTCCTTAGCCTGGTGAGCCGCGTGCCAAAGGTTGCCGACCCCTGAGTTATAGCATATCTTTTAGAAAGATATCCAGTCCAGATTTAAAGACTGCAAGTGCTAGAGAAGTCACCACCTCCGCAGGTGAGTTATTATTGCAATGGTTAATTACCCAACCAGTTTAAAATTTCCTCATTTTGATGCTTTTCTCTGCTAAATTAAAGACCCATCTAAGCTCTGAAATCTCTTTCCCATACAGGTAGCTATGGACCACGAAGAAATTAAGCCAGCTCTTAACCTGCTCTTTGATAAACCAAGTAGCTGGAGCTGTTTAAATATCACTAGGAGGCAGGTATGAGGGGGTAAATGTGTTAGTCTGTATCCACAAAAACAATAAGGAATCCGGTGGCACCTTAAAGACTAACAGATTTATTTGGGCATAAGCTTTCGTGGGTAAAAAGCCCACTTCTTCAGATGCATGGAGTGAAAATTACAGATGCAGGCATTATTATACTGACACATGGAGAGAAGGGAGTTACGTCACAAGTGGAGAACCAGTGTTGGCAGGGCCAATTCAGTCAGGGTGGATGTAGTCCACTCCCAATAATTGATGAGGAGGTGTCAATTCCAGGAGAGGCAAAGTTGCTTTTGCAGTGAGCCAGCCACTCCCAGTCCCTATTCAAGCCCAAATTAATGGTGTTAAATTTGCAAATGAATTTTAGTTCTGCAGTTTCTCTTTGAAGTCTGTTTCTGAAGTTTTTTTTGTTCAAGTATAGCTACTTTTAAATCTGTTACAGAATGTCCAGGGAGATTGAAGTGTTCTCCTACTGGCTTTTGTATGTTACCATTCATGGTGTCCGATTTGTGTCCATTTATTCTTTTACATAAAGACTGTCCGGTTTGGCCAAAGTACATGGTAGAGGGGCATTGCTGAAACATGATGGCATATATAACATTGGTAGATGTGCAGGTGAATGAGTCCCTGAGGGTGCAGCTGATGTGGTTGGGTCCTCTGATGGTTTTGCTAGAGTAGATATGGGGACAGAGTAGGCAACAAGGTTTGTTACAGGGATTGGTTCCTGGGTTAGTGTTTCTGTGGTGTGGTGTGTAGTTGCTGGTATTTGCTTCAGGTTGGGGAGCTATCTGTAAGCGAGGACAAGCCATTTACAATGCACACTTCACTTCTCTACAGAGGAAAAAGGACAGTAAACTATCTAAACTCCTACATGCCACAGGGGGCTACAACAATGGTACCCTTAACTCACCTAACAATACTGTTAATCTATCCAACCACACACTTAGCCTGGCGGAAGAGTCTGTTCTATCTCGGGGACTCTCTTTCTGCCCCACCACCCCCACGAACATGATACAGTTCTGCAGTGATCTGGAAGCCTACTTTCGTTGTCTCTGACTCAAGGAATATTTTCAACACACCACTGAACAGTGCACTGACCCACAGGAACCTTCCTACCAACACTACAAGAAGACGAATTCTGCGTGGACTCCTCCTGACGGTCGAAATGACAGACTAGACATCTACATAGACTGCTTCCACAGACGTGCACAGGCTGAAATTGTGAACAAACAGCATCACTTGCCCCATAACCTCAGCCGTACAGAACGCAACGCCATCCACAGCCTCAGAAACAACTCTGACGTTATAATCAAAGGGGCTGACAAAGGAGGTGCTGTAGTCATAATGAACAGGTTGGATTAAGAACAGGAGGTTGCCAGGCAAGTCTCCACCACCCCATTCTACAGGCCACTATCCTCTGATCCCACTGAGGAGTAACAAAAGAAACTACACCATCTGCTCAAGAAACTCCCTGCTATAGCACAGGAACAAATCTACATGGACACACCCCCAGAGCTCTAACCGGGGGGGAGAGGATAGCTCAGTGGTTTGAGCACTAGCCTGCTAAACCCAGGGTTCTGAGTTCAATCCTCGAGGGGGCCACTTACGGAACTGGGGCAAAAATCTGGGGATTGGTCCTGCTTTGAGCAGGGGCTTGGACTAGATGACCTCCTGAGGTCTCTTCCAACTCCGATATTCTATGATTCTATCTGCTACCCAAGATCTGGAAACCCTGGATGCCCCATCATCTCAGGCATCGGCACTCTTACAGCAGGATTATCTGGCTATTTGGACTCTCTCCTCACACCCTACGCTACCAGCACTCATAGCTATCTTCGAGACACCACCGACTTCCTGAGGAAACTACAATGCATTGGTGATCTTCCCGAAAACACCATCCTGGCCACCATGGATGTAGAAGCTCTTTACATCAATATTCCACATGAGGATGGACTACAAGCTGTCAAGAACAGTATCCCTGATGAGGCCACGGCACACCTGGTGGCTGAGCTTTGTGACTTTGTCCTCACCCACAACCATTTCAGATTTGGGGACAACTTATACCTTCAAGTCAGTGGCACTGCTATGGGTACCCGCATGGCCCCACGGTATGCCAACATTTTTATGGCTAACTTAGAACAACGCTTCCTCAGCTCTCATCCCCTAGCGCCCCTCCTCTACTTGTGCTACATTGATGACATCTTCATCATATGGACTCACGGGAAGGAGGCCCTTGAAGAATTCCACCTGGATTTCCACCCCACCATCAACCTCAGCCTGGACCAATCCACACAAGAGATCGACTTCCTGGACACTACAGTGCAAATAAGTGATGGTCACATAAACATTACCCTATACTGGAAACCTACGGACTGCTATACTGCATGCCTCCAGCTTCCATCCAGGACACATCACACGATCCATTATCTACAGCCAAGCCCTAAGATACAACCGAATTTTGCTCCAATCCCTCAGACAGAGACAAACACCTACAAGATCTTTATCAAGCATTCTTAAAACTACAATACCCACCTGGGGAAGTGAGGAAACAGATTGACAGAGCGAGATGGGTACCCAGAAATCACCTACTACAGGACAGGCCCAACAAGGAAAATAGCAGAATACCACTGGCCATCACCTACAACCCCCAGCTAAAACCTCTCCAGCACATCATCAACGATATACAACCTATCCTGGAAAATGATCCCTCACTCTCACAGACCTTGGGAGGCAGGCCAGTCCTCACTTACAGACAGCCCCTCAACCTGAAGCAAATACTCACCAGCAACTACACACCACACCACAGAAACACTAACCCAGGAACCAATCCCTGTAACAAACCTCATTGCCTACTCTGTCCCCATATCTACTCTAGCGAAACCATCAGAGGACCAGGGCCGGCTCCAGGCACCAGCAGAGCAAGCTTGTGCTTGGGGCAGCAGATTCCAAGGGGCGACATTCCATCTAATCCTTTTTTTTTTTTTTGTGCTTCACTGCTTTGGCCGCCCCTGCAGGTTTTTTCTTTTTGGTTTGCTGCTCCCGCTGCCCTGTAGGGGGTGGCAGCGTGGAGGACGGGAGCGCCCTGCAGCAAGCCCGGAGGGCAGCCCGCTCCCTTCCCTGCCTGCCGACCGGAGTGGCGCAGAGCCCTCCCGGCAGGCGGCGTGCGCGGAGGGGCCGTGTGGCAGCGCCCCGTTTAAGGAAGCCCTGGGGGCCCCCCTTCTCTCTCTCCCCCTGCTAGCCGGGGTGAGCACTCTGCTGCCCGGGGACTGCCCCGCAGGTATTTTGTTTCTGTTTTTCCTTTCCTTCACCGCTCCAGCCGGCTGATTTGTCTCCCCCACCCCCTTTGCTGCTCCGGCTGGCCCACCGTTTTTTGCTTGGGGTGGCAAAAAAGCCAGAGCCGGCTCTGCAGAGGGCCCAACCACATCAGCTGCACCCTCAGGGACTCATTCACTTGCACATCTACCAATGTTATATATGCCACCATGTGTCAGCAATACCCCTCTGTCATGTACATTGACCAAACCGGACAGTCTCTACGCAAAAGAATAAATGGACACAAATCAGACACCAGGAATGATAACATACAAAAGCCAGTAGGAGAACACTTCAATCTCCCTGGACATTCTGTAAAAGATTTAAAAGTAGCTATACCTGAACAAAAAAACCCTTCAGAAACAGACTTCAAAGAGAAACTGCAGAACTAAAATTCATTTGCAAATTTAACACCATTAATTTGGGCTTGAATAGGGACTGGGAGTGGCTGGCTCACTGCAAAAGCAACTTTGCCTCTCCTGGAATTGACACCTCCTCATCAATTATTGGGAGTGGACTACATCCACCCTGACTGAATTGACTCCTTGTTTATTTACTAGGAGGCAGGTGAGCCAGACGACCTTGCCTCCCGCTTGCATCTCTTCTCTGCACGCTTTGCAACATGAGTGTTGTGTCTGGACACGGAGCCCGCCGAAGGCCACCTCGGACAGAGCTGTCAGTAGCAGGGTGGCCGCTTACGGTGAGGGGGGATTAATTTGCAACCAGCCCGTCTGCAGCCTACTCGCAGGGGCGGTGGAAGGGAGGTGGAGGGACACTGCGGAGGCTGATGGAGGGTTTGGCGCATCTTCGTCGGCTCTGTTCTCGTCGCACAGAGAACGTATAGAGAAAGTCCCGCCCCTTTTCCACAGCTCTGTTCTCATTGGCTGAGGACTGTGAAACCCTGGGTGGGATTGGTGCTGTTGTTGTCAGTCAGGCTGGTAGCGCTAAGCGCTGCACTGACGGCGGTGGGCTTGGGACCGAAATCGCTGGTGGGCTGCGCGTCTTCCGGTCCCTTGCCGGGCGCTGGGCCTGCTCTCCTGTCACCCTCGCCGTGCGGCGGCCCCCGGCAGCACCATGGCTTGGATGTGCATGAGGTGAGGGCCGGGGTGGGAAGCCAGGGGCAGGTTTCTTGTAACTGCGGTCAGCGTGGCCGGTTGCTGGGGGAAGGGGCTGGTGGTGGGGGTGGGTTGGGGCTGGGTGCCCTGGGCCGGGGAGGGGGGGGCTGGTGGAGCGGCGGGGGGGCCTGGGGGGAGGGGGGGGGCTGGTGGAGCTGAGGGGGTGGGTTGGAGCTGGGTTACCTGGGCTGGGGGAGGGGGGGCGTTAGTGGGGCTATTATGGAGACAGTTATCATTTGTAGTGTTGAGAGGATGTGACAGTTATAATGGAGAGAGAGTGACCAGTTCTCATTGGTGTGAGATGCCTGTCTCTTCCATCCTCCCTTACCCATCCTGTGAGCGCTGTTGTTTCTCCTTAGCTGGGCTCTAGTGCTCCTTAAATCTTGGCATCCCACTTCAGTTATACATGTTACATTAATGCATTTAGGTCATTATTCTCTGCTACCACCACATTTCCAAAATCAGGGCAGGATTGTGCCTTTAAAGCACATCTTACTTGAATTAGTATATAGAGAGGAAAGTGCTGCCTCAGGAGTCCCAGCGGGAATTATGGATGATTCACCCGGAGTTCCACAGGAAGCAAATACACCTTGAACCAGTTGCTCAGCCACCCTTTATACGGGTATGGTATGTGTTCCCTTCCATGTCAAGCCAGTAGCTGGTGGAGTTGATTGCGTATTTCACTTTCCCCGTCACACACCCATGTAATGCCAGTTTAGTCCTATAAGAACATAAGAGGTATGTGGCACAACATATATGTGGCTTTCGAATTGACAGGTTGCTAGTATAGCCCTCAGGTGGGCAAAGCTTAGATGACTTTGTGGTAAACCCTGGCTAAATTGTGGGTCTGATTCCATGGTTCTTACTCAACCATGGATTACTCTAAAACAGGGAACGGCAACCTTTCAGAAGTGCTGTGCCGAGTCTTCATTTATTCACTCTAATTTAAGGTTTCGCGTGCCGGTAATACATTTTAACGTTTTAGAAGGTCTCTTTCTATAAGTCTATAATATATAACTAAACTATTGTTGTATGTAAAATAAATAAGGTTTTTAAAATGTTTAAGAAGCTTCATTTAAAATTAAATTAAAATGCAGAGCCCTCCGGACCGGTGGCCAGGACCCCAGCAGTGTGAGTGCCACTGAAAATTAGCTCGCGTGCCGCATTCGGCACACATGCCATAGGTTGCCTACCCCTGCTCTAAAATTAGAGTGATATTGTGCAAAAGAAACCAAAGTTGATCCAGACAAAGCTCCAAATACACAGCATTTGTAAGCCTAGTCACACTGACAGTAGTTTAAGATAATTTAACTAAATAATGACTGTGCAGGAAGGTCTTGCTGTGCAGTTATAATGTGCTATGCTGTTAACTGTTAACAGCCTTCCAAAGCACTGAGCATTCGTTTTTGTGTTGCTTTTGTAAAGGTCAGCAAGTGTTAGTGCTTTTCTTTGCATTGATATGAATACATGTATTTGACATACATGGTCACAGATGTTTTTATGAGTTAGCCAAAAAGTACAATATACTGAGCAGTTATTGAGGATTCCTCTTTATAATAAGAAAGAAGGAGTATAAGAAAGAATCTTCACCAACCAGATGATTCTTACTGTGAGTATCCAGTATGACTATATATGCCAGGACTGAGTAGTTGTCTCAGAAGTGTTATAAAGTATGTTATAAAAGTAATAATTTCACTTCTTGAACTGTACCGTATTCAATAAAGCAACTTAAGTGACTTATTACAGTTTGGCTTTGTACCTCATTGTATCTCACCTGAAAAGTGTAGATTTCTAATGCAGATAATAATTTGTTTATATTACTTCCCACTTGCTGTCTCTAGTGGATTCTGACAGTCCATAAATGTGATGTCAGGCAGAAGTGATCAGGTATCATCAATGAGAACAGCCACTCTGCTCTTTGAGAGAAACCATGCCAAATAAACTAGTGTTTGTAAAGCACTTATTATATAGGACTATATTAACTAAAAAAACTAAAAAAGGGCCACCGTGACTTAACCATGTAAAAGAAGCAGTGAGAGATAAAAAGACTTCCTTTAAAAAGTGTAAGTCAAATCCTAATGAGGCAAATAGAAAGGAGCATAAACACTGCCAAATTAAGTGCAAGAATGTAATAAGAAAAGCCAAAGAGGAGTTTGAAGAACGGCTAGCCAAAAACTCCAAAGGTAATAACAAAATGTTTTTTAAGTACATCAGAAGCAGGAAGCCTGCTAAACAACCAGTGGGGCCCCTTGATGATCAAGATACAAAAGGAGCGCTTAAAGACGATAAAGGCATTGTGGAGAAACTAAATGGATTCTTTGCTTCAGTCTTCACAGCTGAGGATGTTAGGGAGATTCCCAAACCTGAGCCGGCTTTTGTAGGTGACAAATCTGAGGAACTGTCACAGATTGAAGTGTCACTAGAGGAGGTTTTGGAATTAATTGATAAACTTAACATTAACAAGTCACCGGGACCAGATGGCATTCACCCAAGAGTTCTGAAAGATCTCAAATGTGAAGTTGCGGAACTATTAACTAAGATTTGTAACCTGTCCTTTAAATCGGCTTCTGTACCCAATGACTGGAAGTTAGCTAATGTAACGCCAATAATTAAAAAGGGCTCTAGAGGTGATCCCGGCAATTACAGACCGGTAAGTCTAACGTCTGTACCGGGCAAATTAGTCGAAACAATAGTAACGAATAAAATTGTCAGACACATAGAAAAACATAAACTGCTGAGCAATAGTCAACATGGTTTCTGTAAAGGGAAATTGTGTCTTACTAATCTATTAGAGTTCTTTGAAGGGGTCAACAAACATGTGGACAAGGGAGATCCAGTGGACATAGTGTACTTAGATTTCCAGAAAGCCTTTGACAAGGTCCCTCACCAAAGGCCCTTACGTAAATTAAGCTGTCATGGGATAAAAGGGAAGGTCCTTTCATGGATTGAGAACTGGTTAAAAGACAGGGAACAAAGGGTAGGAATTAATGGTAAATTCTCAGAATGGAGAGGGATAACTAGTGGTGTTCCCCAAGGGTCAGTCCTCGGACCAATCCTATTCAACTTATTGATAAATGATCTGGAGAAAGGGGAAACAGTGAGGTGGCAAAGTTTGCAGATGATACTAAACTGCTCAAGATAGTTAAGACCAAAGCAGACTGTGAAGAACTTCAAAAAGATCTCACAAAACTAAGTGATTGGGCAACAAAATGGCAAATGAAATTTAATGTGTATAAATGTAAAGTAATGCACATTGGAAAAAATAACCCCAACTATACATACAATATGATGGGGGCTAATTTAGCTACAACAAGTCAGGAAAAAGATCTTGGAGTGATCGTGGATAGTTCTCTGAAGATGTCCATGCAGTGTGCAGAGGCGGTCAAAAAAGCAAACAGGATGTTAGAAATCATTAGAAAGGGGATAGAGAATAAGACTGAGAATATATTATTGCCCTTATATAAATCGATGGTACGCCCACATCTTGAATACTGCGTACAGATGTGGTCTCCTCATCTCAAAAAAGATATACTGGCACTAGAAAAGGTTCAGAAAAGGGCAACTAAAATGATTAGGGGTTTGGAACGGGTCCCATATGAGGAGAGATTGAAGAGGCTAGGACTCTTCAGCTTGGAAAAGAGGAGACTAAGGGGGGATATGATAGAGGTATATCAAATCATGAGTGGTGTGAAGAAAGTGAATAAGGAAAAGTTATTTACTTATTCCCATAATACAAGAACTAGGGGTCACCAAATGAAATTAATAGGCAGCAGGTTTAAAACAAATAAAAGGAAGTTCTTCTTCACGCAGCGCGCAGTCAACTTGTGGAACTCCTTACCTGAGGAGGTTGTGAAGGCTAGGACTATAGCAGCGTTTAAAAGAGAACTGGATAAATTCATGGTGGTTAAGTCCATTAATGGCTATTAGCCAGGATGGGTAAGGAATGGTGTCGCTAGCCTCTGTTTGTCAGAGGATGGAGATGGATGGCAGGAGAGAGATCACTTGATCACTTGCCTGTTGGTCCACTCCCTCTGGGGCACCTGGCATTGGCCACTGTTGGTAGACAGGATACTGGGCTAGATGGACCTTTGGTCTGACCCGGTACGGCCGTTCTTATGTTCTTATTAAGGTTGGAAAAACATAGTCTTTTTGCGTATTCTCTATGACTTTTGACAAAGTTAGGAATATGGGGGGCAGTGAAGCTTAGGGCAGTATTTTATTAAAAAACGCCAGTGTTGCCCTTTTTCCAGCCCTTTCTGAAGAATGAAGTGAAAGCATTTTTGCCATGGCAAAGTCTCTGTATCCTTTTTCAGCAGAAAATTATAAACCTCTGAGCATGAGGAACCCTGACCAACTCAGTATTCTGGTGCTCTGTTGTGTGAGACATTACTCTCTTCTGCCCCTTGCTCCTTTGATCCCCCACTCAGCAGAAAAAATTCTGAAGCAATAAAACCAAGGTCCTTTTAGTCTTCTGCTCCTGCTGCTCAATCTTGCCCTAAAAGCATTCAAAACCTCCTACTCTACAGTGTTGACTCTTTTTCTGAGTGCTTGAAGATTATATTCTAGTCAGTTAAATAGTAAAAATAATTTGACTATGTGTTGTTTGTGTGAGTCTGTATTGTCCTGGAGACAGTTTTTTTTTGTTTTGTTTTTGTAGGGTATAACTTAGGTGAAAATTGCCAGGTAAGGTAGAATGATTACATAAAGATGTGAAATATATATATTCACACTATAAAAGGGAAAATTAAATAGACATTTATAAAAGGGGATCAAGAGTAATTGAAACATTCAGACTACTTTTTTAAATACAATGTCAAATAACTTCTATTCTGTCTTTCTGCAGAGATTCTGCCTGGAAATACTTACAATCTGCCCATCTTGGAGGAGATAGGAACTATTCCCATTATACCTCTCGTGATTTTTATTCCCAGTTTGGGTTAGAAGACTTTCTATCTACAGATGACATTCCTGGGACAGATGAAGATACAGATTCAGCTGTTTTATTTGGAACCTTGCGAGGAAATGTGGTTGGATTACGTTATTACACAGGGGTTGTAAGTGCAGTATGAATAATAAAATGCTACTAAGCAGTGGTAGTTGGAAAGTGGGAAAAAATTGAACATTTTGCCTTTTTGTTGTTAAAATTTCACAGCTTTCCAGTATTTTCTGACAAGTCCTAAGGCTTTCTCATTCATTTGTTGGTATCAGTGTATTTAAGATTCTACACAGTTCCAAGAGAAGAATTCAGTAGTCTAAACTCGCAATTTAAATTTCAGGATTTGTTAAGGTATCTTTTAGATCTGCTTTAGTTATTTACTCTGGAGCTGGCTGGAGGTAAGATAAGAGCAGCCCCCAGGAAGTTGACCGTAGTGGAAGGGAAGATGTTTTCCTTAAAGTGCCCTCCCCTTTCTGCTTTCTCCAGTTGTACACTCATTTAGAACTGTGCAAAGATCCTTGTAGCTAGCTCAGTCCTGCTAGCCACAGTCTTTATAGTGTTGGTGGATGGAGGAGACTTTTGATGATATAGCACTTCAATAGAACTGGAAGCCAGGAGAGATGGATTGTATATCTGGCCCATGTGATTTTAAGCAAGTCACTTAACATACCTATCCCTCAGTTTCTCCACTGGTAAAAAGGGAATGATGATATTTACTAGCTTTTTGTAAGGGGCCATGAATTCTACAAATGAGAAGTGTTGAATAAGTACAAAGTATTATAGGGTATGTCTAACCAGCCCGCAGGCAGCTAACGTACCAATCCAGGTTGACAGACTTGGCCTAGCAGGGTTTGTGCTAGTGCTCTAAAAATAGCTGTGTAGACAGTACTCTGAAGTAGCTGCTCAGGATGGAGCTTGGGCTCTGAAGCCCACCTCTTACCTAACTTCTAAAGTCTTCAGTATTTTGAATAAAGAATTATTAGAGGTAAAACCAGCCTATTATGCTAAAATAATCTTTAAATTTAGCTTCAGAATGGCTATACATTTAGGTATTTCTGTAAATAACTTGTAACTAAACAAGTCTGTGCTTTTTTTTTTTTTTTTTGCAGGTTAACAATAATGAAATGGTTGCACTTCAGAGAGAGCCCAGTAACCTCTATGATAAAAATGCAGTAAAAGTAAACAATGTGAATGGAAACCAGGTAGGCCACATCAAAAAAGAACTTGCAGCGCCCTTGGCGTACATCATGGACAACAAGCTAGCAATAGTTGAAGGGTAAGTGGGCAGATGAAATATTTAGCTTCATTTTTATAAGGTAATGGCAATTTTAATATTTTTAGTATATTTTATGTAGCAACAATGAAAGTGTATTTCCTTTAGCTGAGATTACTGGCAGTAACACTGATGGCTGCCATAACAGACTATAGGCTCCCTTTATGAACCATCCAGATTGCAGTTCATTTTCCTCTGTAAATGACAAATTCTAGAGGCATCAGTGAGAGTTGAATTGACAAAAGCTTACTTTGTAATTCTTACACATTGGTTTGGCTCCTTTAAAGGATTCTAGTAGGGCTGGTGAAAATTTTTCTGTTTGAAACTGTTTTTGATGGAAAATTTGGATTTTTGACTAAATGATTTCCCCCTCCTCCCAAACTGTCTCATTTCCATGGAAAACTTTTGTTTATTCATCAAAATATTTGTTCCAAACCAGAAAGTTTTTGACTGAAATTTTTCAGTATTTTCAGAAAATTAAAATATTTCCATGGAAAATTTCAACAAAAACAAAAAGTTAAATTTTCATTGACATTTTTTCTTCTGTGGGAAAATTTTGAACTAATCTATATTCTAATACATTATGCAGACTTATTGTAAAAGAAAATTTCTTTTTTTTTTTCCCCCCTGAAAGTGAATGTGGCAAAAAGTTGTTCTCATCATGCACATACAATAAAATTGGTACTTCTGAGCAACTGTCTTATTGGAAAATGACAATTTGTAACACAGGCAAAATTGTGATTTTTGCAAAATTTTAATTATAGGTGGCTGTGAATCAGTTTCTGATTCTGATTTGATACACAGTAACAATCAGAAAAATGTTCTATGTTAAGTAGCAATTATATAATGTTAAACCGGTAAAATTGTCATGAAAATTTGGCAGTCCTGGCTAACTCTTGCTAATTCCATCTTTCTGTGACTGTAGTGCCAAACTCCAAGAATTCAAAAATCAGAACACATGCTGAGATGAGTGGAAAAATCCTGAAACTATTTAAATCGTTTTTTTAGATTTTTATTAAATTTGAATATTGTCTTCAGATTTTGAGCTCTTAAAGTGTAAACTGTCCTGTACAAGCAATTGCTCTCCATTCTCCTCACCCATCCCAGCTCCCACTCCGGCACTATTTTTAACAATATTTGCAGCTTTATTATCTTTGCAGACTCATCGTCTTATGTCATTTTTGTTTTTATCCTTCATGAATAGCATCCTCTGGAAACCTTATTACTAATGCTGCCAGCCTCTAATATACCTCTACTGAACATGTGGGAACTGAGATATTTTTTGTAGGTTTCTGACTTGGCTACATTTAGACATTTTGTCATGAGGGACAGCAAAAGGAACATTTCTAGAGCTGTGCCAACAATGGATTGGTTTTTTTGGTACACTGGCAATTCCAGAAAGCTGGGGGGGAAAATGTGTTGGGTCAAATAAAATGTTTAGGACAACCTAAACCAGAACTTTTTGTTTTGATTTCAAGTGATTTTTAATGTTTGATATTTTTTATAAAATTAAAGGAAATATTGAAACAAAGTTGTTTTGAACCAAAAAATTTGAAACATTTCCCACAGTAAATGTCATAAACTGTTTTAACTTTTTCTCAATTTTAGGGTTTTTTTTTTTTTTTAACACATGACCAACTTTGACAGAACTGATATGAAGTTGTGAAAGGTTTTGTCAAATCTGCAGTTTTTTTCCCCTCTCACCAAAAAAAAAAAAAAAAATTGATTTAAAAATTTCCCTAGCTCTTTTCTTGGCACCCTGGTGTTTTTTGTTTCCTGCTAAATTTCATGTCCCTGCTCCAAAACATGGAAGTGCTAGAGCTTCCCAATGAAATATTTGTAAGATTTTTTTTTTTTTTTTAACATGGACAAAATAATACATTATTTCCCCTAAACTAATTTGAGGAGCAGTTGAACTGTGTTTGCTGAAACTTTCCAGAAAAATTCATCCCTAGGCAGACATCTTGCATGGAAAACTTCAACCTGAGTGGGTAAAGTTTCAAAAAGTTATAAGTAACTAAAACAGGATCTTATAATTGAAAACGTTAGGCAACTGTAACTTTCTGCTCCATCTCTAATGTATTAATATCATATAAAAATACTGTATTATGAGCCTTATTCTTACTTATGCTAAGGGCACTTCACACTATTTTGGTAGGGTAAAGGGGCTTAAAATGAGCATAAAGTTAGTTCAAGCACAGTTATATGCTGCCATAGTGGTGTAAAACAGGCTTTCGTACAAATGTGAATCTGGCCCATTGTATATTTTAATATTGTAGTAGAAGCTGAAAGCTTGGGCTGTTGCATGGGTTTAGCACTTGGGCCAAGTAATCCACTATCTGTGCAGTTTGCCTCATACAGCCAATTGAAATTGTTGCATGAAAATTAGCTGTAGAACAACGATGATTGGTTGAATTCTCTCTGATATCTTAGACTCATAGACTTTAAGGTCAGAAGGGACCATTATGGTCATCTAGTCTGACCCCCCGCATGATGCAGGCCACAAAAGCTGGCCCACCCAATTTCCCTTATCTCAGCTGTTGAAGTCTCCAGATCGTGATTTGAAGACTTCAAGTCGCAGAGAATCCTCCAGCTTGAGACCCCTGCCCTATGCTGCGGAGGAAGGCAAAAAACCTCCAGGGCCTCTGCCAATTTACCCTGGAGGAAAATTCCTTCCCGACCCCAAATATGGCGATCAGTAGAACCCCGAGCATACAGGCAAGATTCTCCAGCCGGACCCACATTTTACCAGCGATGGCACGTTATTGCCTAATTGACTAAAATCACGTTATCCCTTCAAACCATTCCCTCCATAAACTTATCTAGCCTAATCTTGAAGCCAGAGAGGTCTTTCGCCCCCACCGTTTCCCTCGGAAGGCTGTTCCAGAATTTCACCCCTCTGACGGTTAGAAACCTTCGTCTAATTTCAAGCCTAAACTTCCCCACGGCCAGTTTATATCCATTCGTTCTCGTGTCCACATTAGTACTGAGCTGAAATAATTCCTCTCCCTCCCTGGTATTTATCCCTTTGATATATTTAAAGAGAGCAATCATATCCCCCCTCAGCCTTCTTTTGGTTAGGCTAAACAAACCGAGCTCCTCGAGTCTCCTTTCATAGGAAAGGTTTTCCATTCCTTGGATCATCCTAGTGGCCCTTCTCTGTACCTGTTCCAGTTTGAGTTCGTCCTTTTTAAACATGGGAGACCAGAACTGCACACAGTACTCCAAATGAGGTCTCACCAGTGCCTTGTATAACGGAAACAGCACCTCCTTGTCCCTACTAGAAATACCTCGCCTAATGCATCCCAAGATCGCATTAGCTTTTTTCACAGCCACGTCACATTGCCGGCTCATAGTCATCCTGCGATCAACCAGGACTCCGAGGTCCTTCTCCTCCTCCGTCACTTCCAACCGATGCGTCCCCAGCTTATAACTAAAATTCTTGTTAGTCATCCCTAAATGCATCACCTTACACTTCTCACTATTAAATCTCATCCTATTATTATTACTCCAATTTACAAGGTCATCCAAGTCTCCCTGCAGAATATCCCGATCCTTTTCCGAATTGGCAATGCCTCCCAACTTTGTCATCCGCAAACTTTATAAGCCCACTCCTACATTCGGTTCCAAGGTCAGTAATAAATAGATTAAATAAAATCGGACCCAAAACCGAACCTTGAGGAACCCCACTGGTGACCTCCCTCCAACCTGACAGTTCACCTTTCAGTACTACCCGCTGCAGTCTCCCCTTTAACCAGTTATTTATCCACCTCTGGATTTTTATATCGATCCCCATCTTTTCTAATTTAACCAATAATTCCTCATGCGGTACCATATCAAACGCTTTACTAAAATCGAGGTATATTAGATCCACCGCATTTCCTTTATCTAGAAGGTCTGTTACCTTCTCAAAGAAGGAGATCAGGTTGGTTTGGCACGATCTGCCTTTCGTAAACCCATGTTGTAATCTGTCCCAATTGCCATTCACCTCAAGGTCCTTAACTACTTTCTCCTTCAAAAGTTTTTCCAAGACCTTGCATACTACAGATGTTAAACTAACAGGCCTGTAGTTACCCGGGTCATTTTTTTCCCCCTTCTTGAAAATAGGAACCACATTAGCTATTTTCCAGTCCAACGGTACCACCCCCGAGTTTACAGATTCATTAAAAATTATCGCTAAGGGGCTCGCAATTTCTCGCGCCAGTTCCTTCAATATTCTAGGATGAAGATCATCCGGTCCGCCCGATTTAGTCCCGTTTAGCTGGTGAAGTTTGGCTTCCACCTCTAATACTGTAATGTCAATCCCCCCTCCTTTATTCCCCTCTGTCCTGCTCCCTCTATTCCTAAGCCCTTCATTAGCCTTATTAAAGACCGATGCAAAATATTCATTTAGATATTGTGCCATGCCTAAATTATCCTTAATCTCCACTCCATCTACATTCTTCAGCGGTCCCACTTCCTCTTTCTTTGTTTTCTTCCTATTTATGTGGCTATAAAACCTCTTACTATTGGATTTAATTCCCCTCGCAAGGTCCAACTCTACACGGCTTTTGGCCTTTCTCACCGCATCCCTACATGCTCTGACCTCAATAAGGTAGGTTTCTTTGCTGATCCCTCCCCCCTTCCATTCTTTGTACGCTTTCTGTTTTTTCTTAATCGCCTGTTTGAGACGCCCACTCATCCAGCTAGGTCTAAATCTCCTGCCTAATAACCGTTTTCCCTTTCTCGGGATACAGGCCTCGGACAGCTCGTGCAACTTCAACTTGAAACAATCCCAGGCATCGTCTGCCTTTAGATCCCCAAGTATGTTAGCCCAATCCACTTCCCTAAGTAGTTGCCTTAATTTATTAAAGTTGGCCTTTTTGAAATCATAAACCTTAGTCAGTTTTATTTCTGTTAATCCTTCCATTTAGTTTAAACCGAATCAGCTCATGGTCACTCGAGCCAAGGTTGTCCCCTACAACCATTTCCTCAACGAGGTCCTCACCACTCACTAGCACCAAATCTAAAATTGCATCCCCCCTTGTCGCTTCAGTTACTACTTGATGAAGGAATTCATCTGCTAGCACGTCTAAGAACATCTGAGCCCTATTATTGTTACTAGCATTTGTTCCCCAATCTATATCTGGGAAGTTAAAGTCCCCCATAATTAAACAGTTCTTATTAGTTTTTACTTGCCTAAAAACATTAAATAGTTCTCTGTCCGCATCCAGGCTAGATCCCGGTGGTCTATAGCACACCCCGAGCACTATCTCAGGGGAGGCTTTAGTAGTTCTTTTACCCAGTGTAATTAGTGCCCAGACAGACTCAGTCTTATCCATTCCATCACTTATTATTTCTTTACATTTTACCTCATCATTGACATACAATGCCACTCCCCCACCTTTACCTTTTTTCCGGTCATTCCTAAACAGCACATACCCTTCCATACCTGTACTCCAGTCATGACTACCGTTCCACCAAGTTTCGGTTATTCCTACGATATCTGGTTTCATTTCTCGGACCAGGAGCTCCAATTCCTCCATTTTGTTACCTAGGCTTCTCGCATTGGTGTATAAACATCTTACCGTATGCTGTCTATCCTTTCTCCCATTAGTTATGCAATTTGGTACGGACCCCATACTGTCCATCCACCCCCTCCTTCTTATGTCCAATCCCCTACCCCTATCTATATCTGTGCTTATCTCTTCACTCTCTTTTTCAGTGTTGGAATCTGGCGTGGAGATTAACTGGACATCTCCCAACCGTCTCCCCCAACTTCCTAGTTTATAGCCCTTTTGATGATATGAGCCAGCCTCCCTCCTAGAAGTCTATTTCCTTCCCTACTCAGGTGAAGTCCATCCCACGAGAACAGCTGTCTGTCCCCGAAAGCCTCCCAGTGGCCATACATCCCAAAGCCCTCCTTATAGCACCACTCCCTTAGCCAGCTATTTATCCTCACAGTTCTGTCAGCCCTTTGCTGTCCTTCTCTAGGAACAGGCAGAATCCCACTGAAGATAATCTGAGCCTCAACTTCCTTAAGCGTCTTCCCCAGCCTGGCATAATCCCCCTTAATTCTCTCTTGCGAGAACCTAGCCGTGTCATTCTTTCCTACGTGAAGGATGATCAAGGGGTTCTTACCTGCTCCTTTTAGGATCCTTTTCAACCGCAGGTCCACATCCCGTATCTTAGCGCCTGGCAGACAGCAGACCCTTCTGTTTTCTGGGTCCGCTCTGGTCACAGGCCTGTCCAACCTCCTCAGCAAGGAGTCTCCAATCACATAAACCTGCCTTTGCCTGGTGACAGTACGATCTACAAATCTATCCCCTGTTCCCTGTAGTCGTACCTCCTGTGTCTTTCTATTTTCCCTTATAGTCCCCCTAGTGCCATCCTCTATCCTACTGGGGCCTGGCATTGATGCTGTCTCCATCAACTCCTCCCCTCTCTCTATGGGACTAGCCGCTCTTCTCTTCTTCCTCTGCCTCCCACCATCAGTTACCACCTGCTGCCTCTCCTCCTCGTTATCCAAACACCCAAACCTGTTCCTGAGTTCTATTTCCCCCTCACTAGCTCTCCTTTTCCTTGGCCTGCTCCTCACAGTCATATGCTTCCACTGCTCTTGTTCTGCCCCTGACATTCCCCCCCCCGCAGACCATAGCCTGTGCTTCCACATGCATCCCTGAGCTTTCCCCTTCTGCCACACCCTGCTTCTGCTCCATTAGCTGCTCGAATCCCCTTCTAAACTCTACCAGGGTATCTACCTGCATCTGCAACCCTCTAATCTTTTCTTCTAGCAGGTCTATTAGGCGGCATTTCATACACACATACCTTTATTCAGGCTCCCCAGCTAGAACCATGTACATACCACAGCTGCAACATGCAATCATCTGCATTGTGTCTCCCGCTGCTTGGCTCATGGCTGCTGTGGTCTCTGCCTGCTGCTCCTGGGGACACAGAACACAGCGGGCACCGCGCCCTCCTGCCTCCCCTTCCACCTCCCCCTGTAAACTCCCACTTAAACTCCCCTGTTAGCAGCCCTGTTTGCCTGCTCGCTGCTGTGCCGCTGCTCGGCTGGGAGGCCTCTTTTATAGGCCCCCTAATCAGCCAAGCTCCGCCCCCTAATCAGGGCTCCGGGCTCAGCAGCCCTCCCAGCACACTGTCCCTACAGGCCTCTACATACACAAGCACTACAAAGACAGGCAGTTTGCCTCATACAGCCAATTGAAATTGTTGCATGAAAATTAGCTGTAGAACAACGATGATTGGTTGAATTCTCTCTGATATCATGATGGTCTGGAGACTCTTGGTATGGCACAAATACTTGCCTTACTGTAGCTGTATGTCACATAGGTATACTTCATAAAGTCAAAATGGCTGAGAACTTAAAACAAATTGGTAACACACCACAAATCCCATTGATGATTCAACCTGATGATTGTCCGAACAAAAAGAACTCTCAACCATGCTTGTAGCCGTTTCCATACCGTTTACACTGACACGATGGAGATTCTGGGTTTCATAATGACATGCAGAATGATAGTAATCGAATCTTACTATATAGATGAATGCCTGATAGTTTTCTTAGGAGTCTGCTTCCTTGGTGGAACTTGTGATTTACTGTTTCAATGTTCTAATGACTATAACAAGTTCTTTATTTCATGGGAGTATTAATTATATATTTTCTCCATTGGAGTCTGCTATGAAATGTTTTACTTTTTAAGTGAGAGGTATGTTCCTTTTTTCTTTATTCTTCAGGGTTGTCCCTTATGGAGCAAAGAATGCCTTTACTATGCCTGTACAAATGAGTTTTTGGGGAAAAGAAGAAAATAAGCAAGCTGTTCTAGATGAACTGAAAATGCATGGATTTAAATTGGCTCCTCCTTCAAAAAGTAAGTTATAGATTTGTTTGTTTTTGTCTTTAAAATATTTCAAAGATGACCTTTGCAAATCCTCAGTCTTTAGAAGAAACTTTAAAGGCTTGATCCTGCTCCTGGTGAAGTCAATGGTAATATTTCAGTGGATTCATTGGCAACATCACCAGCCCCAAACGGGCCAGATCCGGGTTCATAGTGAATGTGCAGTTGTGCTCCATCTGTGCTATAATGTGGGTTTTTCCTTGACTTTGTAGACATGAAAAGTGATTGAAGGTTGTGGTAAAGCAGATCTGTTATTCTCTCGAATCTTTTTTGTTTTTGTTTTTGTTTTTTGTTATCCTTTTCTGTGTTTCAGCCTGGGTATGACCTGGAAATTGTGTTAGTATCACTAACCTCCTCGTGAAAGAAAGGGGGTCAGGTGTTCATGCTAATTCTTTTCATAGTGTTGACCCAAAATATTGCTTCTCCTGCAGGTGTGCAAAAGAGAGCCTGTTGGCTTTTGGCATAGTATTAGGCCCATTTCTTTTCCTTATTCCTGACTGGGATAGATCATAGAGTTGGTATATAATTTAAAGGTGGATGAACATACAATGTTGACATTAGTAAAGTTGTGTTTTTTGTAAAATTGTTGAGCATGTAGATATAATTAAGTGCTTTAATATCTTTAAAACAAAGATGAAAGAAACTATACCATAGTCCTGATCTTAATGTGAGTGAAACAGAGTTTCATCTTTTTGCATGGTGAAAAATCAAACCCTGTTATAACAGAAATGTAATCATGTCAACATTTCTTTTTCCCCAGAAACCCCTTGTACCAGGGTTCTTGAAATCAACAGGTCATGCTTTGATATGTTATACTTGCAAAACCTTATGCAGCACTTCCCTTTTTTTGTTGATCTAATTGTGCATTGAATTGTTAGACTACTAAAACATTACAAAATGTAAGAATAAAAATGCCTAACTGGTAAGCAATAGGACTCTTCACAAGGAACTACGCTCATAGTCATTTCCCATATGTCACAAATAGCCATTAGTTGGTAAAAATTTTTGGTTTCTGCTGCACATAGTTGAATAAAAAACAAACTGGGAGAAAAATGCACCATATCCTGTTATCAGTCATCTGAGCAAGCCAAGTCTCTAACTGCTGTGTTTGTGTTTTTTCTAAATGGAACACAGGTTCAGAATTTGGATTTGGATCAAGCTGGGTTTCTGGGAGAGCTGGACCAAGCTACAGTGCTCCAGGACATGCTGCTGTGCAGATGACAACAGAACAGGTGTGTGGTGGTTTTTTTGGTCGTTAGTTATGTTGAAGATATATACTTTAAAAAAAGTGAACTTGGTGCTCATGAAAGTGAGGATTAGTCCTTTTTCATGAGCACTGAAGTATTTTGATTTTTTCCCCTCTGAAACAAATATCTTTTAAAGGGCACAGTCAACTTGAAATCTTTTTTTGTTTTGTTTTTTGTTTTAACCATTATAGGTTCAGCTACTATACCTGCCCCAGAGTCCATTTGCCAGTTTTTATGGTTTTAAAGCCATTCTTCTATTTTCTTAAATGACTTTTCTATACCTTGTTTCAGTGGGCTTTACATACAGCAACAGTGAAACCAATTGGACGCAAGGTGCTGTCAAATGCTCAAATTAAAATTAAAAGAAACATACATTGTGTAGTAATCTTAGATATTTGTCAATATTTGCTCACTATTGTTGTTTTTTACTTTTGTCCATTTAAATGATCAAGCCATGAAAAGCCTTGGTTTACGCTAAAGAGTTTCACAGATATAATTTGAATTGCACCCATTTGAAGTCTAAATTTGGCCAGGTGTACTCAGCACCGTGAAGATTTTTTCACATAGCTGTACCAGTATACCTCACCCTATTTTATAATGCACATTTTAGTGCCAAGTTGGGATCTGAATGTGGCTATTCCCCCACTACTTCTGCTTTTTCTTTGTTACCTACCTCCCCAGTAGCAGCAGTTTACAGATTCTAGTGGCTCCAGGAGTCATTTGGAGATCTGGGTATCCATATGGCCATGTGACTGGCAGCCGTTATGTCATCAAGTATTTATTTAATGTAGAAGTTGAGTTTAATTGCAACTTCTGTATTTATGCATTGCAGCTTAAAAGTGAGTTTGACAAATTGTTTGAAGATCTGAAAGAAGATGATAAAACTCATGAAATGGAAGGAGCAGAGGTATTTGTTCTATTGAAAAAGTCTTTCATAGGCTTTTAAATCAAGCCTTAAATTCTGTGTTGCAAACTTCACATATAAACATATATACATATCTTCAAAGTTTAGCAGTGTCATGCTAGAATAATGAGTTGTCCTAAATACCAGTTAATTTAAGTTTTAAGAGAGCAATTAATCAAACGTTATTTCCCCTCCCCCTTCCCAAAGGGAAAAGGGTTATTTCATGTGAAAGATGTATAACATTACTTTTTTTGACTTATAGGCTGTTGGAACACCATTACTTCCACACCAAAAGCAGGCTTTAGCTTGGATGGTTTCACGTGAGAACAGTAAGGAGTTGCCACTGTTTTGGGAAGAGAAAAATAACTTCTACTATAATACACTTACAAACTTCGCTGAAAAAGAACGACCAGAAAATGTTCTTGGAGGAATACTGGCTGATGATATGGGATTGGTAATTATGTGTAGTGCTTTAGTGAATTTGAATACAGTTTGACTTATCTCTGGAAAAAACATAAATTCTATCCTTTGCATTTTATCTAGGGTAAAACACTTGTAACAATTGCATTGATTCTTACCAACTTTCATGATGGCAAACTTCTTCCTGTTGAAAAGATTAAAAGCGATCAGTTGCATAAGGTAAGATGTATTTTTATTTTTTTTAAAAGGATGGCACACCATGACTACTGTTTTTTGTGTGAAATAATTTCTTCTAGCAAGTAATCAAAAATCCTTACCTCATATCATTTTTATAGTTGATATGAGCTTTTTATGCTTACTTTATATCACTGGATATTATAAGAAGCAGAATGATATTATGTTACACCGCCAGGTCAGATATAATTAGAGGACTTAATTTAAATATATTTTGAAACAAAATAGTCTGTGTGTTTGAACTTTGAAACGATGTACTCCAGGGAAGAGTTAAATTTAGAGATCATGAAAATGTACTTTATTCAAGTTTTATTAGGTTAATTCATATAAAATAAAATATAAAGGTCTACTTTTTAAAATTTTACTTTTTGTCATGAATACACAAATAAGTATGTTTTCCTCTAAGGACTCGCTTATATAGTTCCCATGCATTGCAGAGACTATACCTAAAAATATGAAGCAGAGGGTCTGAATATGGGGGGGAAACACCTCAGATTTATTTACTTTGTGGAACACCTTCTTACCATATAGTTTAAAAAAGGGTGGGGAGGGAGGGAGGATTGAAAAGGTCCTCTTGGATCATCTAATCCAAATGCCAGTTTTGCTGCACTCACTCCCTTTCCCATAAATTGATTTAACTATGCCGTGGAAAGAGTAAGTACAAGCATTGTCTGATTATTTTATTGTAATCTGTACAGGAATTAGGATTTTTTTAAAAGCATGATTGCATCAAAATTATGTGGTAATGCTTTGTGTCTGGGCTCAGAATAGTCCGAAAAGTTTAGTGGTTTATTTTCCTTCCAATATACCCGTGTAATTTGAAGTTCTCTTTCTGCCTGTCTACAGTTCCCTTTTGGTGTATCTGCTTTTTTTTTTTTTTTTTTTTTTTTTTTTTTTTTTTTTTTTTTTTTTTTAACTATATGAATGTGTTAAACTCGTAACTTTTTAATCTTTTGATTAATGTAAATGTATTACCACTAAATCAATCTTTTTGAATGCAAAAAAATAATTATCTAGACATGAAACCCGTAGCTACCATATTAGTTGTTACTACATTACAGAATAAACTGTTGTTTTTCCTTAGGAATCTGTTGTCACTGGTGTGAAAAATGAAGGACATGAACTTTTGAAAGGTAACAGTAAAAATGTGAAAGGACACAACAGTACTTGAATTATGAATAATACATGCTAGCGCTAGATCTGTTAACTCAGTAATATACAACAACACTATTATTAGAATAGCAATATGCAATTACAATTAGAGTTAGTTGGAAATTTTCCAACCAAACTGGAAAATGTCGGTTCATCAAACTTGAAATCGCTCACAAAAATTAGTCAAGTTTGATGAACTTTTGCCAAATCACAAGCAGGATTCTGGCAGAGCCCAATGGAACCCTGCAAGCTTGCCTGGCAGGCTGTTGAGGAGTCCAACCATGTGGGCTGCCCTGGGGTTTGCAAGGTCCATGGCTCTGGGGCAGCTCTGCTATGCCAGGGTTTCCAGGCTCCTACGCAGCGAAGAGCCTGGCAGACCTGGAAGTCCTGACTCTAACTGGGGCTTGGGTCCTGGCTCTGCAGTACAGAGTCTGGAAGCCCTAAGAAACTGGGGTTTTGCCAGGGCTCTCAGGCTAGGTTCCCAGTTCTGCGGTAGGGAGCTGGGAAGACATGAGAGATCCCAGGATTATTGCCACAGAACTGGGAGCCTGGAAGTCCTGGGATGGGTTCTGAGGGTCTGTAGCTCCAGGGTAACCCTGCCATGCATACTGCCTCAGATCAGGGACCCCAGACTCATGTGTTAGCTGGCTCCCCTGGAGTTTGGAAGCCCTGGGGTCCCTGCCCCTTGGCAGTAAGTATGGAGCCACAGATCCTGGTAATGCTGGCAGCTGCTGGATCAAATCGCTATTCCTCTCAGTGTTACCTCTGCTGTGGTCCCCGAGAGCAAATTTTGTTTCAGAAACATCATAAGGCAGTGTTTCCAAAAACCAATATCTTTTTAGAATTTCTAGTTTGTGAGAAATATTGATAATTTTGGTTTCGTTCTATACCAGATTTTGAAATGCCAAAATTTCTGATGAATCAGAAATCCCGAGTTTTCGCCAGGTCTGCTTACAATAGCAATTCTCTGAGGACGTGAAACAAACTAGTTAAGCCTCTCAGTAGCTCTAAGAGAAGTAATAAAATACACATTTAAACTGAGGCATATGGAGACCATCTGACTTGTCAAAGTGACTTGTTATTTCCACTCTCTTCCCCAAGATTGTGAGGGTTTTTTAGTAATATAAAAGTGTAGCACCATTGCATTCATTTGGTAGAACTCATTGTGAAAGGAAAGTTACTGAGTTGGAGAGAGCAGAAATTGCATACAGTACATGCTTTTTCCTCACCGTTTATTTTCTGGTATTTAAGTGCACAAATTTTTGAGTACTATTTACACTTACACCAAAACTGCTTCTGCAAGTTTAGCCGCTTCAGTTTTCCTCCGCCAGGTCTATCCTACTACATTTTATCTCTAGAATTTACTTTTATGTATATTCTTCTTGGAAATTCTTCGTTTCTTTTTTCTCCAACAGATAAAATTATTTAAGATGAAGATCATACTTACTTTTTTACTTATGGATCCGCTACAACATAGCTCTCTGTTTCTGTTGACTTTAACTAGTTTTAGGTAACCCAGAAACTCAGATATCCCTAATTAGTCAAGTCTGCAGCTAGAATAACCCTCATCTTGGAAGTGCTCTATCCTGACATAGCTTTGTTGGGACTGTCCTTGCTATCCGTATGGTATTTACATTAATTTTCTCCTTATGTCTTGTAAGTTTTGTACTTGGGTCTACTACAATAATGTGGTCAGACCCAATTTTATGCCTTGATCTTGCACACAAGTGTAAGGTTTTATTATTATGTACTTTAATATAAGGTAAAGGTCACTGTATCCCGCTATAGAGGAAAGACTTTTTTTCTGTTGTAAATCATTTCTAGTTATTTCTGCTCCCTAGCTCTTCATCAGCTCAATGTTGGTCTCATATTTCTCCATTTCACAATATCTGTTCTCCTCTCGGTATAAACAGTGCTAGTAACAAGGACATACCAAATCTCTACTAACTACCATTTCTAATATAATAAACCTGCTTTGGATAGAGCCACACTCTGATACTGTACTTGGTCAAATAATGTTTAATTGTCTCTTGTTATGTGGACTGAGTCCTTTTGGTCTTCTCTGTTGTGGTCTGTTGGGACAAGTTGTGTTTCTCTCAAAGTGCTTTGTATTTAAGTATGAACTTACATGATTGTCTATATGATACTTAAATAACAATTTAAGTGTCCAAGAATAATGTATGATTTAAAAAATATTAAATAATATCTAAATACAGGCCCATCCTTAATGTTGTATTCTTTTTAAGCTAACATTAAAAAGGGTCATCTATTTCAAAAGTAATTTTAAAATAAAAAGGGTCTAGAATAATCCCACAAAAGCCAATAAATGTATTAGGATACCTTTCAGGGTCTGATTAGAAAGCTAGTTTGTATCTTTAGCTTGAAATTCTAAGTCAAAGCTATGTCAGTTAGAACCAGGCTGTGGCATACTAGGGTACAATTCAGATCAGTGGAGGGCTGTGTCACCGCTGCCTTGCAACCTGGGTGCCTTGCAACCCTGGGTGCCTTACAGAGCCTTGCTGAAGTAGCTCCCACGTGGGCTGCTCACAAACAGCCTTCCAGCATGCAAGCCATAACCTGAGTGTCGTGTGTAACTGCAGCCTGCTGGTTACCCACTGGTTCTCATCAGCTTTGGTTATACTGCAGGGGGACCTCAACACACCCCCAGTCCCAGATTTCCCAACAGAAACATATGTCCTGTACTGCTCAGCCTACTCCTGGACAGCATAGATATATTAAGGCTGTTCTTCCTTTAAGGGAAAAATATGCCAGTTTATTATCTTACATAGAGTTACCTAGACACTTCAGCTTCAACACACTGGATTAGATGAAACAGTAAAACAAGTTTATTAACTTTAAAGAGAGAGATTTTAAGTGAGTACAGGTAATGAGGCATAAAAGTCAGAAATGGTTACAAAAAAAATCAGGATAGGCACTAGTAAGTGTTTTAACTTAACAAACTATATTAAATTCAAGCAAAATTTCTCAACACATGCTTCCAGCAAGGCTACTGACCAAACTCTTCAGGTACGGACGCCCCCCCAGAGTCCAACGGCTGTTTTCCTTTGTCAACTTAGGTGCCATGTCAGAGACAGACAGGGAGAGAGAGTGGGAGTCTTGGGGTGTTTCAATTCCCTGCCCCCTCCTGAAAATTTTTTTCCAGTTGGGAACTGGGAGACAGAGTCTGTGTGGAAGGATGTTCTCCACTGTTTTTTTTCTACCTGTTTGAGCTTCCTTTGTTTTCCCTTCCTACTTGATGACTCTGTTTACTACTTAAATGCAACTTAAGGCAAACATACACTCCTTTGTTCAAGACAGGACTTTTTGACCACTTTGGTGGAACGTGAGTTTTGAACATCATACACAGTAGTCTTATAACTTCACATACAATGTTGCCACATGTATTTTATCAGGTCAATATTGACCAGCAAAGTATGAGTTTTCAAATGATATCTTACAAAGGCACACCTACGATGAAGATTATTACAGTAGTGTGTAGGGTGTGAATGCCGGGGTGTATTCCGTCACACGGCCATTAACACTTTTTTACTTTTTTTGTATGCAAATTTAGCTGGGCAAGGTGGTGAGTGGTTGTTTTACTATGTCAGCATTTTAGATGGCTGGAAATATATTAGGAAGATCTTCATAGTATTTTTATTTCACATTTACAGACGTGACTCAAAATGCCAGTTATGCTAATTTCACTCTGAGGAATGTAGAACATTATTTGTGATCTAAATCTGTACTAGTTTTATTCATCAAGTAGCTCTCAGGCAGCTTGGCTTTCAGGCAAAAAGACTGTATTTTCCTTTTCATAACTCTTTTCTTTTTTCTCCTGAAGAGGCCAGCTGTAATGTGGAGCCCAACATTTCTAATGTAAAGAAGAAGAGTGAAACTGTTCAGTCACAATTTTCTAGTTCCCGACCAAAAAGGTAATATCCTGAAACACATTATTTCTCTTTGCTGGCTTGCTACATGATATTTGAATAAAGTTAAAGAGATTAGCAAGAAACTAGAAGATGCAGTGCCTTCCTGGTTTTTACATCAGTTGGATTGGAGTAAGGATGATCTTATCTAGGTGGTAAGTGTTTTGTGTCCTCTCCTCTGCCCATCATGACCTTTTTTTCTAAGTGACTCTTGCCTACATTCTCAATTGTTTTTATCCCTCTTGTCAGTATAATAGTATCAAAGGTGGTAACTGTAATCCATTCTTGTAGTAATGCTGTTTTGATACCCATTCTTGAATTTTTTAAAAAGAATGTAAACAACAAGGTTAGATTGCTTCGTTTATCTGCCAGTGTCCATAGCAGCAATATTCCCTTTTCTTTCCCAAGCTGCAGCTTACTGTTGTCAGAAATATGCTGTAGTGTATATTATAAGGTGGGAAGTATCACAGACCACTAATTGAGACTGAGCGATAGGTATGATAGCAGTGCCAGGTATTGACTTCACAATTAAAATGAACCAGAAATTCTGTATTTATTATTTAAAAAACTTGATATAAAATTCTGATGTTGGGCTAAATTCCAGTAGTTTTTGTCAGTGTTTCAAGTATACTTTTAGATCAGGGGTTTTCAAACTGGGTCGGGACCCCCCAAGTGGGTCACAACCCCATTTTAATGGGGTTGCCAAGGATGGTGTTAGACTTGCTGGGGCCCAGGGCCAGAGCCCGAGCCCCACCGCCCGGGGCTGAAGCCGAAGCCTGAGCCCCACTGCCCAGGGCCAAGATTACATGCCCATTGCCCAGGGCAGAAGCTCTTGCGCTTCAGCTTTGGCCCCACACCTTTGCGGTGGGGCTCGGGCAGACTCAGTCTTTGGTCCCCCTCCTGGGATCGTGTAGTAATTTTTGTTGTCAGAAGGGGTCACGGTGCAATGAAGTTTGAGAACCACTGCTTTAGATGCATTGTTCTGTAGACAAAAGGGACAGCTTTTGGCTTGATTTGTGTTTGAAACATATTAATGTGTTCATGCCATTTCATCATGGCACAGCTTGTTCTTTTTATTGGTTAGTGTAAAGATCTGTTTTTTTTTTTTACATTTATGAGAAAACTGTCTACAGAATTTTTTTTGCATATTGAAGTACAACAATGAACAGAGTACGTTTTGTTTTGTTCCCCCACCCTCAGAGGAACTTTTCAAAGCATATTGGCCATATCTATTGCATGTTAGTCTGTGTGGCTAAAACACACTCTTCAAGTTTTAGTACTGGTTGTGAAGTGTTTTTATTTTAATGTTTTAGAGCTAAAGCTGAGAAACCCAAATATACAGTAAGCAGTGACTCAGAAGAATCTGAAGAGTGGCTACCACAACAAACAAGAAGTGAGCTGTATTTAAATAATTGGGTTAAAATAGAATTAATTTCATTCAGTTTTTAAAAATCAATTGTTGTTTTTCTTTTCAGCCAAATGTGAAAAAGATCTCCCAGCAACCAGAAAGAGAAGTAAAAGTATGTTTCTTTGGAGGTTAAGTATGTTTCCATACCAGAAATTTAAGCAGAAATTGTACACTAGAAGATACTTCAGACCAACTTCTTATCAAGAAAATAAACTATATTACAAATGTTTCAGTAAAACTCCTGCAGACGTGTGTTTAATGCTGTGAGCATGTAACTCGGTTTAACCATCTATAAGAGTAAATTTATCTATTAGAAGTAGAACCTTGAACTCTTATTTAAGAAAGGGCTATTGAGCTAGCCTAGTGATGATGCACTCCTTCCCTGGGCTTATGTTTCTTACTTCTTCAGCCAGAAAAGCTGTTAAGTAATGATGTGACAGGCTTTGAAGAGACTCCTTTCCTCAGTGGTAAAAGGGATGAGATGGTGGAAGGTGTAGTGAGGAAACATGAGATGCTTTAGATTCTGACAAGCATGGGTAGTATGTAGGCACAGAGATGGAAAAAGCGCATTTGAAAGGCAAAGCTATATTACAAGATAATTAGCTTAGATGCTAATCTAAAAGTACAAGAACATATGTTATCTGTCAAACTAAATACCTCGCATGGAAGAAAATCTGAAAGACTATAGGTACTCTGCATTGAGGGCTTGTTTACATAAACACTTTGCAGCAAGCTGGGATGTAAATCTACCCCATGCTACCTTGCCTGCACTACTTGTCTGTGAGGACACAGCTGGCGTGCACTAAAAGTTCCCTAGTGCGCTTTGATCTATGCTGCTTTGAAACAAGAGTAAATCACAGCTCACTAGGGAACTTTTAGTGCTCGGCAGCAGGGTCCACATGGACACTTAGTGCATGGCAGGCTAGTGGAGGGTAGGTTTACACCCCAGCTTGATGTGAGCTAAGTGTTTCTGTAAACAAGTCTAAAGTACTTTATGTATGTGTGTACTCCTGGAGTGAAACTTGTGCTAAATCGTTTGTCCTAATGGCCGATAGATTCTGTCCCTTTTGAGAGTTACTCCATGTTAGTAGCTACCTGTAAAACAGTGAGAAAATCAGTTCGTTTGGTTAACAGGTTTCACTTAGTGTGACATAAATGTAACAAAAATATACCTACCCATGCACACATTTTTAAAATGTCTTGCATTTGGATGTGGTCTTTTGGCAGCAGCTTCTTGCATTATCCAAGAAGACACAGGCTTTGCGTCTGCTCTTGCATCTCCATCCGCTCCATTAAAAAAGAAAGCAAAGAAAAAAGGTAATGAAGAAATAAACACAAGCCTTATGAATTTTTGTTTCTTTTCAAACTGAAATACTATACAGATGGTTCTTATCCTGTGAAGCTTACATTATTTTGATGGGGATCTCCAAAAGGACTACAGGGAACTACTCAATTTTTTTTTTTTTTTTTTAGCGTTGTATTTGTTATAATCTTTCAAAATAAAGGATTAAGGTAAATGATTATCCTGCTGAGTGTCACTTCTATTTTCTCAGGTACTGCAAGTGTACAGTCTGTTAAGAAAAATGATTCTGAAGAGGGTCCCAGAACAACACTGATCATATGTCCGCTCTCTGTCCTAAGCAACTGGATTGTAGGTTTTACATTATCATGTTAATTCTTGAATATGTTGTGACTCTTAATTATGACAGTACAAATAACATTGCTCCAGTAACATGTCATTTGACTAAAAATTACTGCTTCTCCTAATTTTGAAATAAAGCAGTTATTAAAAAAAGTAACTTTTAGCGCTGTTGATTTATTGCAGTTAACTCACTTGATTAACTCAAAAAAATTAATTGCGATTAATTGCCGTTTTAATCACAGTGTTAAACAATAGAATACCAATTTAAATTTATTAAATATTTTGGATTTTTTCTACATTTTCAAATATATTTATTTCAGTTACAACACAGAATGCAACGTGCACAGTGCTCACTTTATAATGTTTTATTACAAATATTTGCACTGTAAAAATGTTAAAAGAAATAGTATTTTTCAATTCACCTCATATAAGTACCATAGTGCAGTCTTTTTATCATGAAAGCGCAACTTACAAATGTAGTTTTTTGTTTGTTTGTTACATAACTGCACTCAAAAACAAAACAGTGCAAAACTTTAGCGCCTAAAGGTCCACTCAGTCCTACTTTTTGTGCAGCCAATCGCTACAAGAAACAAGTTTGTTTACATTTACGGGAGATATGCTGCTCACTTCTTATTTACAATGTCACCTGAAACTGAGAACAGATGTTTGCATGGCACTTTTGTAGCCGGCATTGCAAAGTATTTACGTGTCAGATATGCTAAACATCTCCTGCAAATGTAAACAAACTTGTTTGTCTGAGCGATTGGCTGAACAAGAAGTAGGAACTCAGTGGACCTGTAGGCTCTAAAGTTTGACATTGTTTTATTTTTGAATGCAGTTATGTTTTGTACATAACTCTACATTTGTAAGTTCAACTTTCATGATAAAGAGATTGCACTACAGTACTTGTATTAAGTCAATTGAAAAATACTATTTTATTTTTACAGTGCAAATATTTATAATTAAATATAAAGTGTTACTGTAAACTTTGTATTCTGTGTTGTAATTGAAATCAATATATTTTTGGATGTTTTCCACATTTTCAAATATTTATATAAATGGTATTCTATCATTGTTTAACAGGGTGATTAATCATGATTAATTTTTTTAATCGCTTGACAGTCCTAGTAATTTTTGATACTAGAACAAATTGAAGTGACCTAGTACTGCCATGAGACTAAATGGCTTTTATTCACTGATTTCATGTCCATTCAAGAGCTACAAATATTGGTCACCCTGTGAGAAGAGTCATTATTGAGCAAATGGGTTCCACACAGGTTCACAGTTCCACCCTCCTTTTTTATTGCAGGAGAGGAGTTCGTTGTTTGTAAACATGTTAAAGGGGGACACAGCTTAAAAATCGCATGTCTTTGTCGAAGCTGTATGCCATTGGATTTTACAACGCAAAGATAATTAAAACTGAAAAGAGATGAGAGAAAATACTCTTGCTTTTTCAATTTTTTGTTGTTGGTCTGTTTAAATTTTTTTTGTAAAACTACAAAATTGGACTGTGGACTTGGCATTTGAAACTACTGTTTTCATGTCATTGTTTGAAACTGAGACAAATTCACAAATAGTTTTGAATCAACTGAAACTGCAAACTATTCATCTGAAAAATCTTGCCTCGCTCTAGCTATAATTCCTTCTCTAGATTCTGGTGATTCGTGAAGTTACTGTAATAAAGTTACCAGAAACAATGCTGCCTAATACTTACTCAGTAATAGAGAAACTTGCAGAAAACTCAACAAATGAAGCTTCCTGTGGAGAACTCAGAGTGAGGGAGATTAAAGTACTCCCTCCATATATTATATTTGCGTCCTAGAACTGTGATAGTTTTTATTGAAATCAGTTTATCTTTAGACTTTACCCCTTCTTTTTGTCAGCAGCTCAAATTCTGCAACATGGTGCTAGTGCTGGAGAGCGACAAAGGCGAAGCACTTCAGAAACAAAAATGAAAGTGACAAGTGAAGATTAACTATTTTATTTAAAAGAGGGGCAAAAATTAAACACCAATGATGAAAAGTAGATCTTGAAAATCTTTCATTTTAAATAAAATGTTTTTAGTAACACGAGACATACTAATAATTTTTAAACTGTCATTCTTTCATTTATTTTTTCTTATTTATTCAGAAATGCCATTGTAGCTTTATTTTACATGTGTAAAAAATATCTCATCCCTCCCCTCAACTCCATTGCAGTACAATTACTTGTGACTGACTATGAAGCTTTGCTTTGTTTTTGGTTCTGTTTTTGCTGTAACTAAGTTGGCTACTACAATTCCCTCTGCCTCTCTTACCCCAAAACAGTTGACTTTTGTTATATGTCCTATGTTCCACCATTGGTAGTTGCAGTATGCCACAGAGTCGGAACAGAATCTACAGTTGTTTTTGTAAGCCATCCTTAAGGAATATAGTTATGTGGCAACATTTGATTCATCGCAGTTTCTCTAATGACTTTTCTTTCAGGACCAGTTTGAACAACATATCAGGCCAGATGTTCACTTGAATATATATGTTTATTATGGTCCTGACCGCAGCAAAGACCCATCATTTCTTTCAAAACAAGACATAGTACTAACAACCTACAACATTTTAGCCAGCGATTATGGAGTAAGTAAAATACTAAATGTCTTTATAGCAACTTTTTGTATCAGAGGATATAAAACCAAACAAACCTAAAATGGCCATTTATGAAGAGTGGGAGGCGTTCTTTGAATGTATCTATTGTATTATTTTTAGCAGTTAAATTCCCCACAGATTCTGACTGCATTGGGTTTGATCTAGTCTGGGGCTGAGCAGGGTTTTCCTTACAATTTCAGTTCTGGGTAGCAGTGGGCTGTGCTAGATCTGGGCACCTGAACTGAGAGCAGGGAGTGTGTATCTTTAGTGCTGTCAGTGACCCCTCAGTCCCCTGGCAGCATGGAGGAGGAAGCTGCCTGATTCAGCTGCAGGGGGGGACAAGAGTCAGACTTGAGCGGAGAGCAGGTTAGGACAGGCAACTGGAGGGAAGGCGAAAACTGGGACTTGGGGCAGGGTGAGCAATTGGTAATTTGGGACTAAGTGTGCAAGGAGATTAGGAGTAGGGGAGGCAGATGGGCTGAGAGGCAGCAGATAGAGGTATGGGTAGAGACTGAGATTGGATGAAGAGCTTGAGGGAGAGACTGGGACTTATCTCCTTCCCCCATTGGTTCTAAGATGAGAGGGAGGACTAATCTGACAAGGAACTAGGGTGCAAAGGTAGAACAAGGGCTGGTTGGGAAAAGAGACCTGAGACAAAGAGCTGGGGGTATGGGGGACACTAAAACTGAATGAGGAGCCCTGGAGGCCAGTCAGGATGGGAAATGTAGGTGGAGGGGAAGATGGAGGCTGGGGTAGAAAAGAGACAGAGGACTGTGTGAGCAAGGAGACTGGGGACAGGAAGCTAGGGGTGAGGCAAGGATTTTCTGGGCAAGGGGGCTGGGATTGGGTAGACAAGGAGAATGGGACTGGGGCAAGGAGCCATGATGGAAAAGAGACTGGACTGGGACAGGGCAGAAGAGGTTGAGGTTGAAGGGCAGTGGTGGGGGGAGGGAGGGGATTAGGCAGAAGTGTTTGTTCTCACTATATAGCTTACTCCCCTCAGGAGCTTGGAATGGAACCCAAGATTCCTGAGTTTCACCTTTCCTCTGATGTCAGCAAAAAATCTGTGAAACCCTCTGGCAAAATGTCCCATCCCCTTCTAGTGGTGATCCACACTAAGGATGACCACATACTACTGCTATTAGTTACTCTGTTAGCTCAATTTGGAGAGCTCTCTGCAGTGGATCTAAAGGTTCCAACCCTGTCTGCTGCTTAATTTTACACAGCCATGGCACTTCAGTCAAGCTTTTTGAATTGCATAGTTAGGGCCCTACCAAATTCACAGTCCATTTTGGTCAATTTCATGGTCATAGGATTTCAAAAATAATAAATTTCATGATTTCAGCTATTTTTAAATCTGAAATTTCACTGTGTTGTAACTGTAGGGGCTCCTTACCCAAAAAGGAGTTGTGGAGGGGTCACAGGGTTATTGTGAGGGGGGGTTGTGGTACTGCTACCCTTATTTCTGCGCTGCTGCTGGCCCCACCGCTGCCTTCAGAGATGGGCAGGTGAAGAGCGGTGGCTGCTGGCTGGGATCCCAGCTTTGAAGGCAGGACCGCCATGAAATCTATACAGTATAGGGTAAAAGCACACAAAAGACCAGATTTCACGGTCCGTGATGTGTTTTTCATGGCTGTGAATTTGGTAGGACCCTATGCATAGTCTATGAAAGTATGTAAAAACTGATTGTTTTATTGAGGGATGTATTAATTTCCTGAATAAGATATGTTATATGTGAATCCATGCATTTGGCTAGGTTTGTTTTCATGCAAATCACAGTCCTTTTAAAATATCTGGGTATCTGTTGTTTGAAATGGCCCCTCCTATTTAATTTAGCATCATGTAGCCCCCTTCCCACTCCTCTGCTTTCTGCTCTGGTCACCCTTTTGCATCCTCTTAGTCCTAGGCACTTGATGTACATTTCCAGGGAATCTTTAAATCCAAAAGAGTGGGTTCCTCACATTCCTCGTTTTACTGTTCTTTGAGTAAGCAAGATAAAAATGAATATACTTTCTACTATTAGAAATCTGTCTTAATGAATCTACCTCACTTGTGCTATATGTGTTAGGTCTATGACTTGATTTATCATAGTTGCAAAAAGGTCTATTTTGATTTGAGTTACAGGATCAAAAATAAAATTGTTTTTCAGAGCAGAGGCGATAGCCTGTTACACAGATTAAAGTGGCTGAGAGTGGTGTTGGATGAGGGGCACACAATTCGAAACCCAAATGCTCAGCAAACTAAAGCTGCATTAAATTTGGAGGCACAGAGAAGATGGATACTGACAGGTAAAATATTTTACACCACAGTAATTGCAGTGTTAACCTTTATTTTTGTACTACAGTGACACTACATTTTTAAAGAAATGTTTTCATTTTGGCTTTATCCAGAAAACCTAACATTTATTTTGGCTGCTGGGCTCTAAGTTCACACTTATTTTAGAATGCTCTTAAATTAATCTTAGTTCAGAAAGAAGATCTCAAAATGGTTTTGAAAAAGTAGTGTCAGAGTTTTTCATAAGTCCTCGGTAGCAAATTAGAAGTCCATAGAAAACTGCTGTAGCTATCATCTTTATAAAAGTTGATGAGAATGCAACCAAATTAAACTATTTAAAATAATGCTATTATCCCAGCTTCATTTTACATGATCAGCAAAGAAGGAAGGGACTGACTCACCAACCAGCATGTTTGATTTCTTTGAAACCCAGATTTTTTGTTCACTTAGTCCTTGATTCAGGAAAAATCCTTGTTCAGGACAACACATAAGCACGTGCTTGGCTTAAATCAATGGCACTTAATCATCTGCCTAAGTGTTGGCCTGAGTAGAGATGCTTTCCTGATCTGGGGCCTAAGTGAACTGCAAACCATCTAGAACGACTTGCAAACGTGCTGTCTAAGGAATAATGCCCAAAAGGCATGTATTATGAATAGAGATGGATGAATAATGGATTTTTTCCCATTTGTTGTCAATTCTGAAAAACCGAACAAAATTTTGTTTGGGTTGAATTAGTGAATCAAAAAGTCAAAAAAAAAAAAAAAAAAAAAAAAAAAAAGAGTCAAAATGATTTTTGGTTTTAATTTTGGGCATTTGGATGTCTAGATTCACAAAACAGCTGCGAGGGAAGGAAGAAAACCTCTCAAACCTTTACCTCAGTGGCTAGGGTGTTCTCTTGTGTTGTGGGAGATCTTCTCTGCCTGATGTGGAGAAGGGATTTGAACTTGTTTCCCACATTACAGGAGTGTGCCCTAACACTGGACTATGAGAGATTCTGGTATGGGTCTCTCTGTCTCTCCTGTTCCACCTTTTATAAATTAAAAAGTCATTGGAGCAGGAACTTGAACGTGGGTCTCCCACATCCTAGGTGAGTACTCTAAGCACCAGCCTATATAGTCTTTCTCATTCTCTTTCCTAGGCCCAAAAATTATTCTTTGTCATTCATAGTATCAAATCACAAGATCAGTGGCTAAGTTTCTCTAGTGCCTGCAAACTTTAGACTTCTCACAACAGTCTAGCATTTCAGAGTATTTTGAAGTATTCCTCTTAGAAAAAGAAGACTCAATCATTTTATTCCGTTTTCAGTCGTTCTTAAGAAGTTATATGTGCCCTTTTTTTAAATCAAGGTTTTTTTTTGTTTTCTGGTACAGTAACTCCTCACTTAACGTTGTAGTTATGTTCCTGAAAAATGCGACTTTAAGCGAATCCAATTTCCCTATAAGAATTAATGTAAATGAGGGGGTTAGGTTCAGGGAAATTTTTTTTCATCAGACAAAAGACCATATCTCTCTCACACACCTACCTACCTACCTTGGTTGAGGTGGAGGAGTCAGAGGCTGGGATATTTCCCAGAAAATGCCTTACTGCTAAATGATGAATTAGCAATTGGCTGAGCCCTCAAGGGTTAACTCTCACACTCTACAAGACAGCTGGAATGGAGGGAGGGGGAGACTGCATCCCAGACAGAGACACACACCCTGTGCGTGAGAGAGAGATGTGCATTTCCCCTTTAAGTATGCTGACCCTACTCTTAAGTACACTGCCTTGTTAATTAGACCAGCTTGCTGAGACCCTGTTGTGTGTGTCCCCTGCTCTATGGAAGATGGGGTAAGTGGGGTGCAGGGGGACACCCTGACATTAGCCCCCCTCTTCCTCTTCCCCGCACAGCAAGCAGGAGTCTCAGGGAGCAGCTCCAAGGCAGAGGGCAGGAGCAGCACATGACAGTGGGGGGAGGGACAGCTGAACTGCCAGCAATTGATAGCCTGCTGGGCAGCTGCTGCACAGGGAACTTAGAGGAGCAGGGAGCATTGCACAACTTTAAATAAGCGTGTTCCCTAATTGATCAGCAACGTAACAACAAAACAACGTTAAGCAGGATGACTTTAAGTGAGGAGTTACTGTACTATGTGCTCAGTTTGGGCTGAAGCTATCTTTGCATCTGACAGAAAATATTGTTGGTGGAGAAGACTTTGGCTGTATCCTTTCAGATCTGCATGCAAGTAGTGTGAACTCTTCAGTATTTAAAAATTGCTTGTTTTAAGAATAACCCTTGAAACTGAAAACTTTCACTATACTTGCTTTTCTTTACTTAACAAACTACTGTGTGTGGTTTTGTTTTGTTTTTGAATTCCTATTAGTACTCAGCTGCTTGTTTTAAAAGGAGGGGAGAAGCACTGAAGCTTTAGTTCTGAAAACTATTTTTTTAAAAAGACTAAAGGATTTGTAATGACCTTTTCAACTAGACTAAAAGATGAGAGGTCTGACAAGATGATGATGATCTATGAAAAATGAACAAATACAGAGTAACATTTTATGCCTATCGATCTTAACAAAGCCCTTTTGTGTCAAAACTGCTGTGAGCAGGCTGGAATCCCCCCAACTCTTCCAAACCACCAGTTTCTTCTAAATTGCAGACATAGCTTCAGCCAAGTGTATGGCTACTTCAGGGGTTTTCTGTGGTAGATGCTGAGACTGCCACTTTGGGCAGAAAACGAGTCATTTTATTATCAGCTGTTGGGGTGTATTTAAAAATTCATTTAAAATAGATTATTTCTTTAAGATCATTTAAAGTCCTAACACTACTTTTTTTTTTGACAGCTCTTCCCTTTACCTGGGGTGTGTTATCTGACAGATTTTAATATGTTGTCCCATTATTATATGGGTTAGAATCTTTGTCAGCCAATTCTCTCTCTCTTCCTCAATCCTGCCTGTTTCTTTGAAGTGGAACTATATGGGAAAACTAATACATTTTAAAATATGCAGTTAAAATAGCTGCAGAAAGACTCCCCTGAAAAAGTGTATGCTAGTGTAATGGTGCCTTGTTTGTGAAAACTAATACTTTGTTTCATATGGTGGATCTGTGACTCAATCTGGAAAAAAAATATTTTTGTGCTCTGGGTTTTAAAGCTTTGCTCTGTGTATTTGTGCAGGGTGGACTACTTTTAATCAAATTTATATTTTTGGTTCTTAAGGTTTTCCAGATTCTTTTTCTTATTTTAGGCACTCCTATCCAGAATTCCTTAAAGGATTTGTGGTCTCTTCTCTCCTTTTTAAAACTGAAACCTTTTACTGATAGAGAGTGGTGGCACAGAACAATCCAGCGCCCTGTCATGCTGGGAGAGCAAGGGGGACTGAGGTATGAAGAGCTTGTAAAATGTTTGTGGATAATAAATCTAATCTTTGATTGCCAGTGCGTCATGACAAACTTACACATTTGTACTTTGTTTAAACATAATGTACATTTTTGGTTCATGAGATTTATTTATACTTCGGTTGTAAAATGCAATACATTGTATATAACTTAATTTTAGTGCGGTGTAGCATACTATCAAGCTTAGATTTTATGCAAAAGAATCAGTTAGACAGTAAACTGAATAAAAAAAATTGAGTAATTTGTGTTAGTGTACTAAAGACTGGTTCATGTGTCTTTCTAGGCGTTTACAGTCCCTAATTAAAAACATCACCCTTAGGAGAACGAAAACAAGCAAAATTAAAGGAAAGCCTGTTTTGGAGTTACCAGAACGTAAGGTATTTATTCAGCATGTTACGCTTACAGAGGAAGAGAGAAAAATCTATCAGTCTGTGAAGAACGAAGGCAAAGCTGCTATTAGCAGGTAGATAGAAAGAAGATAGACTGTGCAGTTACTGTTAGAGTTGTCAGTTTTCTTTGTAGTCTGACTTCTGAAAACTACCGGTTCAGATGTTTCAAGCATATTAGCTGTAATAGCAGAATGTATCTAAAATATGCCAAACTCTCTCTCTCTCTCTCTCATCCCCCTCCCCCCACTTTTCACTCTTAGTATGCCCTGAATTAATAATTGCAAATGACTGTAGCATCTGTTCAATTGTTAGTATGAGGAAGAAAATGAAGAATGGTTTAGCATATGCCATAAATGAGCCTAACTGTCTTTGAGAGAAGCAAAAAGAATACAAAATACACTAACAGTGGTCTTAAAAATAATTCTTTAGCACTTGAAAAACTTGTTTCCTGAAATAGTGTATGAGAATATATGTAATGTTCTCCAGAAACAAGTAGAACTTAAATTTAAATGAGTCTTAGGAACTAGTTACTGATATATGATGGTATATGGAACTTCCTACTTTGACCTGTATGGTAAGCGCATATATATAGTTTAGTAAGTTTAGATAACCTTGAAAGATTTTCAGTTTTGCTTTTGCATTTCACAGCTTTAACAAAACAGGACAAAGAAACCGTGGCGCACACACCTTACACAGAGCAGTAATTTTTTCAAAGCATCGCACAAGGTTTCAGCCACATGATTTATTTTAGTTGGTGGCCCACTTACTTCAGTGAAGTTACACTAGTATGGGTGAGTGGAGAGCCAGGGCCAGTGTAAAATAGGTGACTAAAAGTTCATTTACCTCTTCGAAAATCTACACCACAAGAAGTTTTAATAGTTGAGAATGTTCAGACATTCAGAAGTCCCTGGTTTCTGTGAGTTAAAGTGTAGCGTGTAATCGGCTGCAATTTCATTAAAGTCTGGGTCAGATTCAGGGGTAACACTAATGTTCAGGTCTACCACTGTTTAGGTAAGTGGTAGTGCTCCAGTTTTGCCATTCGGGTGTGTACACATTTAAAAAAAAAAAAAAAAAACCACAAAAAAAATGAAAGGGCATGTTTTGCATGAAAAACAGGTAAAAGGTGACTGTAAGAATAGGACACGATTTATGTTGCTGAACTTGACCCATTGAGACCATGTATTTAGGGTATAATGTTTTTCACACTATAATGTTAAAATTGTTTTTCAGGTATTTTAATGAAGGAACTGTTCTAGCACATTATGCAGATGTCCTTGGTGTCTTGCTCAGATTGAGGCAGCTGTGTTGCCATCCTCATCTTTGCACAAATACATCGTCTTCCAGTTGTCAAATAGGTGAGTAGATGTACTTTCTGTATATCGTTCTAAAAACTGTAACAGCATTTTAGTTCAAGTCCCAAGAATAGGAATGTTATTGGTAGACTTTTTTTACCTGCTGCATTATGGACAAAAACAATTAGTCTTTAATTGGGTATATTAATGTGTTCTACCTACAATATTTGGAATTTTTGATTGCTCTTTAAAACATCCCCCCCACTTACCTGCTCCCCCTAACTTATAGTTATATATGCTACTCTTCACATCCGACCAAAGGCAAGCCCTAAAAAAAGAACGAAATATCTAGCTGAGTCATTCAACAACCCATCTACAGTTTACTCATTGGTTCCCATTGTCATCCTTAAATATCTCCCTTACGCTATCTTTTTCCTGAACAACCATTCTGAGTGTTCAAATGCTGATTATTTTAATCATTAATATAGGGTTAGGGTGGCTTTTATAAATTGTACTGTAGTTCCATACATGATTTTGTATTAGTGTGTAAATAAATGAGGTATGCTGTCTCTGTAAATGGTGGCTGTGAGATTGTTTGTTTTTGTTTTTTCTGTGATGCTTATGAAAATTTGTGAATGGGTGATCTGTCATTCTAAATTTGATATCAGTTCTGTGATTGCTATGTAAAGTCTGCATGTGCATGCGCTAGTGAATTTTATATTTGTGGACTAAGTTCAATCAACATGTAGTTTTAAGGATGAAAATGGACCTATGTATATTATGAATGGAGGAATAAGGAGCGACATGTAAATAGGAGGAGGGTGTTGAATGGCTTAACTGCATGTTTTTTGCCTTTTTTTAATGAATTTGGATGTACAGTCTAGCAAACTTAACTTTAAGGTACATGTTTTGGTTTTTATGGTGGGGGAAATTACCAGGGTTTAATGAGTATGTATCAGCGTTGACAGTCTTTTTTTAATACACGTGATTAGCTATTTGGTATTTAATACATATATTATCCCCTGTAAGCCCTTTGCAAAGCCCTGATGTTTCCCATGACCTCCTTTCCCTCCCCTGCCCCTATGCCTTGCTCCCTGTCCTGGCCTACTCCTCCCCAGTGCCCTTCACAGCCTAAATTGCCCCTGGGTAGCCTTGCTCCCCATGCTCCCACCATGTTGTCTTTCTTTCCTATTATATTCAACTTTTAATGTTTAGATCTATCAACACTAGTACACATTTAAAAGCTGAATACGTCGGCAAGTACATGTGGGGGAAGCAGAGCAGTATAGGAGGTCATGGAGGCTAAAAACAGGGAGGAGATGATACTCTCCTCCCTGAATCTGACAGCTCTGCTGTTACAGACCTCCGTCAAGCTCTTGACTGTTGAACTGCAGGACGTTTATCAGAGGACTGCTGTGCTCTGCTGAGCCATAGAAAGTTTATTAATGTCTTGGGCCCACTTCTCCCCTTCTGAGGACAAGAGGATGAGTGAGGTGTGGGGGGACAGCCCTGTAGCTTTATCAGAAGAAGAAACTGCTTCTGCAGTGGAGTTGCAAGCTGTGGGTTTTTCTTTCCCCATGATCCTTTGCCATTATAGGGGCTAGGACATGGTGGGGGGAAGGGTGAGAGTTGAAGGCACAGTTTTCGGAATCCAAGAGTGTGCAGCTCCACTGCAGAGGCAGTTGTCCCTGTAACTTCAGAAAATGGAAAATAGCTGCTGGATCTGAGTAGGTCCATTGACTGCATTTAGCACAGTCCAGTTAAGATATCCTGAATATAAGTTATAACTTCTGATGGCCAGTTCTAAAATTTCAAAATGATCATATGTCTGATGTGTCATCAGGATCAGTATGAAGTTTTGAGCTTCTGGCAACAAAGAAATTTGAAAAAATGGGGCAAAACTTAAAAGAAAGCAATTTAAAATATTGCTAAACATTATTCCTAAAAAAAAAATAATTCATAGGACATAAATTTTCCATGTAGAGTTTTACTGTGCTAAATTTGGACACTACGTTCAATTAGTGTGAAACGGATAGATTTGTTCCTCCTTTTAAGCAGTAATCACAGTGCAATCTCAACTATAGAGTAGCTACCAATATCTCCATAATAGAAGCACTGTGTAAAACTGCTGTTGCGTAAACAATGCTCTTTTCCCCTCAGTCACTGAGCATGTTGCACCATGTACTGATCAGTGTGCCCATAGTCAGTTAGGGTTTCTTGAGTTTTTAGTCTGAGTGACTCAAATTGAATATTCTTAAAAATGTTTTTAGATAGTAATACAGAATTATTCTTGATGATTCTGCCATATTTAAGTGTGTTTATAAATTGTAGGCCAGATCCTTACCTGGTGTAAATCAACATGGTTCTGTTGTATTCAATGGAACTATGCTGCTGATCTGGCCCCATGTGTAAAATCTTTTTTTGGTTTTTAACAAAACTATGTTTTCTGTATGTATTAGGTGATAGTACTCCTGAAGAATTACGTGAGAAGTTAGTAAATAAAATGAAGTTGGTTCTCAGCTCTGGCTCAGATGAAGAATGTGCAATTTGCTTGGATTCTCTGAACCTTCCTGTGATAACACACTGCGCACATGTGTTTTGTAAACCATGCATTTGTGAAGTCATCCAAAGTGAACAGGTTAGCTATTTTGTTATTGCATTTAATCATAGTGACCAATCCCAAAGCAACATAGATTGAATCTGGACAGCCAGAAGCTTATCTGCCCATTGTGTTGATAAACTACATAGAATTTGTTGAGGCAGTGGGCCATAGTCATCCCTGGTGTAACTCTGTTGACGTCAGTCAATTTCAACCAGAGCGGCGGTAACGTTGCATTCCAGATGACAAATCATAATCCTATTAATAAATAGAGAGCAGCTGTAAGGCTAAAGAGTATATGATGGATGCTAAGCCTACTGTAATAGCCTAAGGCCCAAATTTTGTCTTTGGATGTGCACCCGCATGTCCCATAAGCTTTAATGAGAGCCTCACAACTGTTTCTGGTGCAGATTTTACCAGTCATTGTTCACTTTTTTTAAATCTCATGATAAAATGGGATTAATTTTTTGAGATTACTGCTGTGCTATACCAGGTCACTCCTTTTTAGTCTTTGAAATGAATATGATAGCATCGTGTATAGTGTTGTATGCATACTTTGTTCAAGCCTTTGGCTAGCATGTTCTCCATCTGCATTTAAAAGAAATCAAAATTATTTTGTGTTTTGAAGATGACCAATTAATAGTGAATCTAAAAAGGAAGGGGTGTGTTTTTTTACAGTGAGGACAAAAACACCTCTCTTTACTATTTGACTGCGACTTTCTGTTGTACTGTTTTAACAGCACTTAAATAACTGGAATTTTAAAAAAATTATTCAGTGACTGAAATAGTCGCTAGCATCATATGGGAGACCCTAATGAAAACTGATCCTTTTTAGCAGTTCTGTTTGTAATTTGTGCAAGTGAGTAAAAAGATCATTTGGAAGCCCCAGCAGTCTTGTAATTTCCCCTACAGCATGTCGACCCACCAACCCCTTTGTATGCCAGCTGTCATCTGTTCAAGCTATATACCTATGCATTGAGCAGAGGAAATGTGTACTCTAGATTTGTCACCAGAGGTCAGTGGTAATCCTTTTATAATAGTTCACTCTGAGGCTACCTACACTATGTTGATGTTGGTGAAGCTATTGTCTATCCCCATAGTAAACTGAGTGGAAGGTTGGGGAATGATAGCATGAGATAGCGAAAACTGAGAGCGCAAAGGTAGGTTAGGTAATTTTTTTTCTTTTATTGGACCAATTTCTGTTGGTGGAAGGGACAGCTCTCAAGCTACAGAGATCTTCCTCAGGTCTTGAAGGCAACCAGTGGATCTGAGCTAAATACAAGGTGTGACAGATAAGTCTCTGTTAAGTGCATGATTTTTAATGTTGAGCTGACTTATGAATTTAAGTTCTCAGGCTCATTTTTTTGAAGGTATTATGCAGGTCCCCTTTGAGAAAGGGGACTGAGAGGTCAGATTTGAGGTGATTGTGAAAAGTGTTCACCCAGGAGTGATATAATGTTTTTGTTTTTTAAATTTTTCGGTGTGTGTTCATTCGAGAGCATATTGATTGTCCTCAGTGGTTGGGGCATTTGGAGCACTACATGTTGCGTTAGGCATGTGTAAGACCCATTCATCTTGAAAGGTGCGTTTGTTGGGGGTATTGATCATTTTAGCTGTGGAGATATGTCTGCATGTTTTACATCTGTTTTGGCCTGGTCTCATGCTGCTTTGAGTTGGTGTATCCTGGCCTCTGGGGAGCCTGCTTGATGATGAGCTTGCTGAGGTTGGGTGGTGGTTGAAGGCCAGAAGAGGGTGTTTAGTAAAGATTTATTTAATTGTGTGGTCCCCATCAAGTATGGGTTGTAACTGTTTAATGATACCCTGTATGGTTTCCAGTATGGGGATGGTAGGTAACAACTAAAAGTGTGCTGTCTGTGGGTTTGTTGTTTTCTGTGCTGCAGAAAGTTCTGGGGTATTTGGGTGGTCTGTTCCATGATGTGATTTGTCAAATGAATTCACACAGAAAAATGATAAAAGACAAAAACCCCATATCACCCGTGGATGAACACTTGTCATAAAGCAATCACTCCATATCTGACCTCTCGGTCCCAGTCCTCAAAGGAAACCTGCATAACGCTATCTAAAGACAAGTTTGGGAACTTAAATTCATAACTCTTCTGGACACTAAAAAAAAGCGGCACTGATTTGTATGGCTTTTTACAGCAAATTGTCACACCACCCTCCTGCCTGCTAATCCTTAATTGCCCACTTCATTTTGAGTGGTCTCCTGCAGCATGCGTTGAAACTCTTATGCTTAACAATCTGCCCCACCTTGTATTTAGCTCAGACACTCTGGTTACTTTCTCCAGACCCGAGGAAGAGCTCTGTGTAGTTTGAAAGCTTATCTCTTCCACCATTAGAAGCTGGTCCAATAAAAGATATTACCTCACCTACCCTGTCTCTCTCACATGGGAGTAGCCATACTAGGTCAGACCATGATCCATGTTGCCCAGTAACCTGTCTCCAACAGTGACTTTTACCAGAGCTTCAGGGGGAGTGTACAGAACAGGACATTATGGAGTGATCCACTCTGGGCTTCTGATAGTTAGAGGTTTAGGCCCTGAGCATGGGGTTGCGTCCTTGACCATTGTGGCTAATAGCCATTGATAGGACCTTTTTCCTTTTTGAATCCTGTTATACTTTTGGCTATCACAACAGAAAGGTCATTGAGTCCAGCCCCCTGCCTTCACTAGTAGGACCAAGTACTGATTTTGCCCCAGATCCCTAAGTGGCCCCCTTAAGGATTGAACTCACAACCCTGGGTTTAGCAGGCCAATGCTCAAACCACTGAGCTATCTCTCTCCCCATGGTAACGAGTTTCACAGGTTAGTTATGCATTGTGTGGAAAAAGGACTTCCTCTTATTTGTATTAAACCTGCTGTCTATTAATTTCATAACCCCTAGTTTTTGTATTGTGTGAAAGCATAAATAGCACTTCTCTATTCACTCTTTCCACGCCATTCTTGATTTTTATAGACCTCTATCATATTGCCCTTTAGTTGTCTCTTTTCTAAACTGAATAGCCCTAATCTTCTTAGTCTGTCCTTGTGTGGAAGCCATTCTGTACAGTTGATCATATATATTTGTTGCCCTTCTGTGAATGTTTTCCATTCAACTGTATCCTTTTTGAGATGGGGCAACCAGAATTGGACACAGTATTCAAGATGTGAGCACACCATGGATTTATATAGTGGCATTTATAATATTTTCTGTCTTATTTTCTATCCCTTTCCTAATAGTTCCCAACATACTGTTAGCCTTTTTGACCACTGCTGTGCATTGAGCTGAAGTTTTCAGAAAGCTAGCCATGGTGACTCCAAGATCTCTTTCTTGGGTGGTAATAGGTGATTTAGAACCCATCATTGAATATGTATAATTCGGATTATTTTTTCCAATGTGGATTCTTTTGCATTTATCAACATTGAATTTCATCTGCCATTTTGTTGATCAGTTACCCTGTTTTGTGAGACCCTTCTGTAACTCCTAGCTGTCTGCTTTGGACTTAATTATGTTGAATAATTTTGTACAGTCTGTAAACTTTGCCACTTCACCCCCTTTTCTAAATCATCAATGATTATGTTGAACAGCACAGGTTCCATCCAGTCTCTGTATCCTTGGAGGATCCTGCTGTTTACCTCTCCATTGTGAAAGGCTAGGTATATATGGCCAAGTTTTTTCCTATCTTTCAATCAATTACTGATCTATGAGAGGACCTTCCCTCCATGGCTACTTTAGTTTCCTTAAGAGCCTTTGATTAGGATCCTTGTCAAAGGCTTTCTGAAAATTCAAGTACGTGTGTCAACTTATCTACATGGCTGTTAACTCCCTTAAAGAATTCTGATAGATTGGTGAGGCATGATTTCCCTTCTCCAGCAAATTGTATTTATCTGTGTGTCTGTTTAATTCTGTTCATTACTATAGTTTCCACCAAAGTGCCCAGTATTGAAAATATGCTCACTGGCCTGTAGCCCTTTTTAAAAATCAGCATTACATTAGCTACCTTCCAGTCATCTGGTACAGGGGCTGATTTCTGTGATAGGTTGCATACTACTGTTAGTAGTTCTGCAATTCATATTTGATTCATATTCAGAACTCTTGGGTGAACACTATCTGGTCCTTGTGAATTAATACTGTTTAGTTTATTAACTTGTTCTAAAACCTCTTCTATTAACACATCAGTTTGGGACAGTCCTTCAGATATGTTGCCCCAAAAGAATAGCTCTGATGTGGGTACAGATGCTCCCTGGGTTACGGAAACCTGACTTACGCAAACCTGCACTTACGGAAGAAGTTCCGTAAGCGTTTTTTTTGTTTTTTTGCGTAATTGTTGGGTATATGTCCCTGACGTACGCAAAATTCGACTTACACAAGGCGTTCCGGACGGAATGCTTGCGTAAGTCGAGAAGCATCTGTATCTTCCCTACATCCTCTGTAGTGAATATTGATGCAAAATATTCATTTAGCTTCTCTGCAATGGCCTTGTCTTCCTTGAGTGCTCCTTTAACACTTTTGTTGTGTAGTGGCCCCATTGCCTGTTGGGAAGGATACCTGCTTAAAAAAAAAAAAAAAAAAAAAAAAAAAAAAAAATTCCTTGGGACCAACACAGCTACAACACTACCTATCATTTTTGAGTAGTCTTGTGTTAGTCAACTGCCAGGGGAGAAGAATTATTTCAAAATTGTCAAACTTTATTTCTTACATGGATGTCATTCTCTCCTGTCATAATTCAGCAGTCAAAACCTCAAACCAGAAGTTTTTTTGTTAAGGCCATTGTTAGGTGTTTTTTACCAAAAAAAAACAAAAAACAAAAAAAAGTTTCCCTTTCCTTCTCTAGAGCTCGTAGACTAGAACTCTTGCCCTTCTCCATTCCTGCAGCACAGACAATCCATACTATGTTTGTCGAATACAGCCCCATGGAAATATTAATAGAGAAATTCTTGGCTCTGCCTTAACCAGGTCTCCATTTCAGTGAGAGCAAATATTTGCAGGCATAAAATTATGTCTGCAGTTATTTGCACCTATAAAATGACCGCCAGTGTCCGAATATCTGCCCCTAAATATAGCATAAGCACATCCCTACGCTGAACTTTAAAAATGAAATGTGAAAGATTAACTGCAAAGAGAGAAGACTATCCTTGAGCTAAGAACTCAGATATTTTTTAAAAAATGGTTTATTTTTCTGCTTCTAATATTTTGAAGACAGAGGTTTTCTCTTCCCTCCCTTTTCCAGAGGACCTGAATGATATACCATATTTAGCTCAAAGTTTAAAAATAAACAAATGTTTGGGTTGTTCCAAACAAATATTTTCAATTTTTTTTTTAAGAAGTGTAAATAAAATAGTATTAAAATGGAAACGTCAGTGTAGTCTTAATGGTGTAGCACAGGGGTTGGCAACCTCTCAGAAGTGGTGTGCTGAGTCTTCATTTATTCACTCTAATTTAAGGTTTCACTTGCCAGTAATATATTTTAACATTTTTAGAAGGTCTCTTTCTATAAGTCTATAATATATAACTAAACTATTGTTGTATGTAAAGTAAATAAGGCTTTTTAAAATGTTTAAGAAGCTTCATTTAAAATTAAATTAAAATGCAGAGCCCCCTGGACTGGTGGCCAGGACCTGGGCAGTGTGAGTGCCACTGAAAATCAGCTTGTGTGCCGCCTTTGGCACTCGTGCCATAGGTTGCCTACCCCTGGTGTAGCACATACAATCATTTTGCTTTTGCAGTCAGGTGTGGTTTGGAGGAGTTATTTATCATGTGGAAAAATGTACCATGTGTGAATTAGCCTCGATGAAAATGCAGTCCTCAATTTCACTGAATGTACTTCATAATGGCAATCTTGGAACTCTTTGATGTGCAAGTGATAAAGTAGTTTTTGGGGGGGGAAATGCTCTTAATCTGATCTAAAATGAAGAAAGTGCTTTTCCTAATGTTTCAACTCACTTTTTATTTTATAGCCAAATGCCAAATGTCCTCTTTGTAGGAACGAACTTCGAGTAGAACATTTGGTAGAATGTCCTCCGGAGGAGTCGGATTCTAGCATTGAGAAGAAGGGCGATCGGGAATGGATATCCAGTTCAAAAGTAATTTCCCACTGTCTTGTGTAGTGAAATGTAGCATGTTAAATAGAAATATTTTTCTAAGCTTTAAAATTGAATTTTCAGTGTATACATCAAGTTAATACAACACTACTAAAACCATAAAATCCTACCACAAGCCTTGGTTGCAACAAGGAAACACACAAAAGTAGTGCAAATTGCAGCTAAGTAATGTTGTTGACCTAGAACTCCCTTAGTGAAGGGCTGTTTGTGGAGTGTACTAATTAAAATATTGTTTCAGTAAAAGAGCAGAAATCCTAATGTTTTTTTCTTTTGAAGATATATTTTGTAACTAAATGTAAGTAAATCATTTTTAATTTATCAGAAATGAATGAATAAATTTGTTTAGAAAATTCTTAAAATCCCTGAGGTTCATACATTTAAAATTAAATAAATGAGCTTCTCACATTATATTTCACAAATGTTTTATTAACATTTCACTAGTTCAGGTAACTGGTTATGTCTGTTTTTAAAGTTTATCTTTTTTTTTTGTTTAGCCTCAACCTCATCAGTGTACAAGATCTTACTGCCAAATCTGAAATTTTCCTGCCTTCATTTGATTTCCTTTTTTGTTTTTAATTGCAGAATTTGACAATTTCTTAACAAACTTAATTGAAATTTGCAAGAAGGTTACTGCTCTTTCAAAGTCAGTATATATTGAGCCCTTAAAAATAACTCTATCCTGACGGTTATAGAAGCTGAAGAACAAATATATTTGGCCTTTGGGCTCAAAGGTGGAGGGACGTCACTCTTTTTATTCTTCTCAGCTTTGATCTTCCTTTTCCTCCTCTGATGTTCTATAGCACTGCTACCCCTCCTACCCCTTCCCTCCCCTGAACCCCTACCTCAGTCTCACTGCTTTGAGTTCCACCTCCACTTCCTTCCTGTTTGCATGCTTTCTGGCCTGAAGAAGGTTGTTGACACTTGTCAGTAGGAGAAAAGTGCATTGGCTACACAGATTAGATTGATATTAATTCCTCCAGGAAACTTTCTCCAAACGTTGCCAACCTCCCAATAGCCACCTTTTATAACCATAAAAACTGGCCAGTTCTTATTTTCTTTTCAGGAGTTGTTCTAAAAAAAAAAAAAAGTCTTTAGGATTGCCCTGTTTTATTACAGGCTAATACGATAAATTATCAGGCATCAGCACAGTGCCTAAGCACAAAGCTTTTGAAGTATCCATAAGATTGGGATAATAATCCTATTGCATAAATCTTAATTTTTGGCATTTCAGATCAATGCTCTAATGCATGCTTTGATAGACCTAAGGAAGCAGAATCCAGCTGTAAAGTGTCTGATTGTTTCTCAGTTCACCACTTTCCTGTCTCTAATAGAAACTCCACTGAAGTAAGTTGAACTAATTATAATTTTGTACTTCTTAGTGGCTGAAATGTCTGTGAAATGTCCATTTCAAATAAATTGGACAAAATATGCTTTTCTTTTAGAATGTTAGAGAATCATATTACTCTTTGTTTAACGGTATAGATCCATGTATCTTAATTTCTGTTTTGACTAGAAGCATAACCTTTTAAACATTCACAGCAGAGGTCAGGATTTTAAATAAATATATTTCCTGTTGTCATAGTAACTTGATAAATGTTGTTTTTCTTTTACTGCAGAGAATCAGGGTTTGTGTTTACTCGTTTGAATGGGTCCATGGCACAAAAGAAGAGGGTACAAGCAATTCAGAGCTTCCAAGACAGGCAAACAGGGTCCCCGACCATAATGCTGCTATCCTTAAAAGCTGGTGGAGTTGGTTTAAATCTGACAGCTGCTTCACGAGTGTTTTTAATGGATCCTGTAAGTAATAAACTTAACACTGGTATGTTGACAGTGATCTATGCAAAACTAGTTGTAGGTCCCTCAGGATTTTAGGAAGGGGTGGGTGTAAAGCCTATACTACAATTAAAAACCCAACCCTGGACTGGGCCAGCTAACTTGGGCTCACAGGGCTTCTGCTAAAGGGCTGTTTAATTGTGTATAGACATTCTGACTCGGGCTGGAGCCTGAGCTCTGGGACTCTGAGGTGGGAGGGGCCCAGAGTGTGGGCTGCAGCCTGAGCCCAAACGCCTACACTGCATTTAAATAGCTCCTTAGCCAGAGTCATCTGCGGGTGTCTAATTGCAGTGTAGACATACCCTAAGAATTAATGACATCTGTTCTATCTGGGCGAGGGGCAGATAAAGGAAGAAAAGAATATCTTTTGTCTTTCTCTGGTAATGTAGCACTTTTTTTTTTTTGTATTCTTTAAAAAAAAAAAAATTGGAAAAGGCAGAACTACTTGTGCAACAGTAGTAGTAGACTTTTTGCTAAAAGTCAAATTTAGTGGAACGTCATGTGAGGTACTGACATTAAAAACTACCACAGAAAACAGAGTGCAGCTGACTGGGGTTGTGCATGAGCCATTTTCAGTCTAAACATCTTTGAGTTTAGCACTCCTGTTACAAAGTGACTGCAGATGGAGAAACAGGTGGTTATTCTTTCTGTGTTGTCCACACAGATTCCGCTCTTGGAGCACATGCACCCCATGCACATGAGATCAGATCTTTTTTTTGGTCAGCAGTTTCTTTTGGGGCCGCTTCTATACCCTCTTGTGTCCTCCACTGAGGGCATAAAGAGTGGAGCAGGCTCACTTGCCCCATATTCCTTTTTGATGACCATGGCTGCAAGATGAACTCCTTGGCAGTGTTTGCTTCGCTTGTGCACTATGTGATTCACCTTGTATTTTTAGGATTAGCTTAGACTGGAGCTCAAGTTCCTACTCACCTAAGTATCTTGAAAATGAGAGCACAGTCTCCTAAGTCACTTAGGCTGTTCTTCATACTTTTAAAACTAGTAGATCTCATCCCCTCCTTCATCGTTTTTATTCTTAGACTGGAAGAGAGACACATTTTCCTGCTTTTTTTCAACTCCCATTCGATTTCTCAACTTTGAATAAATTAGTCCAAATGAAGAAAATGTTCTTTCTGTGCCTGCAGAAGAGGCTATTGCTGTCAAAAGCTGATTTAGCACTTCAACAAACTGGTTCCAGGCGCTTAGCTAGGGACTTCCCACAAGTTTGGTGGTGTGATGTTCTTTAAAATATCTTCAGCAAACATGTATTACTTGAATGGTTCACCTCCAGCTGTGAAATCTCTTATGGTTGGCATGATTGATGAGATTAGATGCTATGTCATAGCAGCAGCGTCTTCTTCAATAGTGAGCTATCTACTCTAGTATTTTGAGTTGGTAATATTGGCAAGAAATTGAGGTGGAGTAACTGCTTGATCCATCGCTTCTTTACTACCTGCAATTTAACTTTTGTTGTTGGAGTCTTTCTTCAGTCAACTGTATTAGCAATACAGCAGTAATCTTTCTGCAGTTTGTCTAAGGCAATGAAAATGGATTTTTTGACATTCAGCATATCTTCTACATTTCCCTTTAGTCTGATGTTTAGTCTTTCCCTTTAGTCACAGCTTTGGCTGTGATAGTTCCATTTATTTTGTCCCGATTTTCATCACAAATTGTCATCAGAATAGGCAAGTTTTTTAAATAAATAGCTCAAAGCAGTCAACCACTGAATTCAATTGTACACCATGGGGGAGAATTAGTTTGGATCTTGCTCTCTTTAGTGAAACTGACAAAAAGTGATGAAGTATTTTGCAATTTCAGCAACATTTTCATTTATTCCTGGAGTGGTACTTTAAGTCTGGCTAAAAGATGAATCAGATGAGCACTGCACCTATATACATTTCAGGTTCCCTCTTTTAGATTTCTGCTCATCTTTGCTACATTTGCAGTGACAAAGCTGTGTTGACACTTGAATTTTTGTTCAGCTTTTGTTATAGCTTTTACTGCCTGTTTTTTAGGTACTCTGCTCTTAGAATCATAGAATACCAGGGTTGGAAGGGACCTCAGGAGGTCATCTAGTCCAACCGCCTGCTCAAAGTAGGACCAATCCCCCAACAGATTTTTGCCCCAAATGGCCCCCTTGAGGATTGAACTCACAACCCTGGGTTTAGCAGGCCAATGCTCAAACCACTGAGCTATCCACCCTCCCCCCCCCTGCTGCATGGGCATTTCCTGATGTATCAATTTTTTCTTAAAGATAGACAAACCCATTTTCTGTTGTCACACAAGCACATATTACTAAATCATTGTGTACATTGCTGCACCCATCAAGGCTCAGATTAACACATTTCTCATCAATGTTTTTTGCACATTGTTCAGTTTCCTTCTCATTCACTGTATCCAGCAACCTTCCAGCAATGTCTGTTCTGCTGGGTGGAGTGTAGCCTGGTTGTAATGACTGAACCATGTCAATGGAATGTTTGTTCTGAACAAAACAAAAGGGAGAACTGGTTGCATAAATGAACTGAATGAGCTTTTCATCTATGGAGTCTTGCTGGAATTTGCTGGTCCTGATTACAAACTCATCCATGGTTTTACTGAAAATATAAATGATTTTTTTTTTTTTTTTTTACTTAAAAAAATTTTTTTTTAATCCACCCTACATCCTTCTATAGAATAGTGTGATCATGTCACATTCCCTAAGAATAACAGTTACTGATAAAAATAAACAATGCTAATCACATGGCTACTTTTATCATAGGCCATACTGTTATGGGTAGCATGTTTTAGTGAATTCATTTTTTAAATTTCTTAGTGTCTTAATGTACTGGAAGTGTAGTTTTGAAAAACTAATTGTTCACCATAAGGTTTAGATTGATGATCATGTATCATTGATAGGCTTGGAATCCTGCTGCAGAAGACCAGTGTTTTGACAGATGTCACAGACTTGGCCAGAAGCAAGATGTTATCATTACTAAGGTGAGCTGTCTGAACAACTGTGATTTTGATATAGTAGTAGTGATCTTTTAAATAAAGAGTTGTTTAAAAGAATTGGGCAGAGGATATAGCAATAGTATAACATAACTATAACTTTAGTTGGGATACCATTTTTGAAATGTTAGCTTGGGCTATGTTGTTTTCCTCACTTACAGAAATGTGAAATTTTGTGACAGTTTTGCAAAAATAATGGGGTATGAACCCCCTCTCTCTCTCTGAAGAGATGATATTAATTTTTGGAGCAGAGTTTGCTTGTTCCTGTCCGAAATCTTAAGGTGGGTAGGTGTGATGCTTTCTCAAGGTGCCCAGGACTGCGAGTCACCTTCTTACTCCTCACTATGTCCAGACAGAGGAAGACTTGCTGATGCTTAACTGGGTGTCAGCTGCTCCCTGACACCACCAGTCTGTTAGCCACCCTTACAATCTCCTCAGAGCTGTGCCAGGCCTTTCTTTGCCTTGCAGGTTATCAATAGATGCCCCCCAATCCTTGAGCCCTGTTGAAGCATTCCCCCATAGTATCCAGCACCTGTCACTGGACAGTCTCAGAAATTACCAGATTTGCTATCCCCAAATGGACTGAATACACACTAACTGGTTTGATTCAATTGAGGATCAGTGCCTATCTGACATCATAGCACTGAGGTATATATTTATAGTGAAAACAGACAAGTTTATTATCAAAGATTAAGATTTAAGAGCTACTGCGTAAGGATAATTAGAAACAAAACTGTTTTTACATATAAAATGATAAATTACAAACCAGGGTCTACACTTATAAATGGTTCTCTTTCCTATATGATGTAGATTTCTCTCTCTTCTCCCCCCCCCCTCCCCCCCAAAAAAGGTTGACTTTTGCAGAGCTAGCTGGTTTCAGACAAACCAGGATCCAAGTGTTCATGAAGCATCCCCTTCTACCAGGTGTTTTTTCTCAGTGGATAGATGAGACTTTTTTCCTTACATTCTATTTGTATTATTATTCCCCCCCCCCCCCCCCCGAGGCAGGACAACCCCTGTGGGTTAGTCTCCAGTGACTTACCATTCCTCTGTTCACTTTATATATACATTTGGCTCCTATTGTGTTGGTTTACAATGCTTAATTGACCTGTGAATTGAGATAGGTGAATATACATCCTATTTCCTGTCTGGAAGAAACCTGTTTTTTTTTTAAGTTGGTGACAGTCTTTATATTTTCACTACATACACACAACTCCTTAAATATCATCCATCCATACATGATGCCATGATTGTGAGGATTAGTATGACCCAAGCTTTTATTAGAGACCTTACAGGATATAATTTATGGATAAATACCATGAAAGCATTGTGTTTAGCTGTAGTGAATTTGTCAGGTTTCTTAGGAATTGCGGTTACAGGACAGCGAATCCTTTGTCAGCTGGTACCAATGGGCCTCTGTGCCACAGCTTTCCCCTATATAGATTCAGTAGGATTAGCTGCTGGCTACTCCACAGATCTTGGTTTAAAGTCTGTCTGCCTGGACAGGGTATCCGCTTATTAATTTGAACTTCATACATTCATTCAGCTAGTAAACTGTTCCAATAATCAAACTAAAATACAGTCATAGGTTAGTTCCCATGTTAATTCCCCCTTGGGGAGAGGTGAGGTGTTTCCTTCTCTCATCCCCCTCAGGTTTAATTATATCTCCCATGACAGTGCTAAACCCACAGATTAAAGGGCACCTTTCCCTCTCCTTAACCACTGTGGCAAGTGAAGATGTTATAACCTGTCTGGGCTTTTCCCATTCTTTACTGGGTAGCATGGATTTGTCAGCATTTTTATCACCCAGAGCCTGCCTCGTTCCAGGGGAGTTCTGAGGCACATCACCTTACGGCCATACCTCTTTTCCCTTCTCCCCGCACCATTCTGGTCCACAGCACCTTCTAGCTGTGCTAGTGTCTCGTCGCCCCCAGTAATCTTCCCTACTTCTAGTGGAGTTCTGGTCCACAGCATTTCCTAGCTGTACCACTATCTCGCTGCTCCCAGCAAATTCTGAGCCACAGCACCTTTTAGCTGTGCCACAGACACACTCAGCACTGACTTAGTTTCCCCAGTGAGGGTAGATGTCGAACTCTCCCCCTCAAGCACTGAGTCTGGTCATGACGGGCTTGTACCTGAACCCTCATAATTTGACCCTGGTACACTACTACAGAAAACACATCAAGAAAAATAATTTTCCACAGTCAGAATCCCAGAACAAAGGTTAGTGTCCATAGTGATTCAGCTGCAGGCAGAGTGATAGCGTCCATCATTCCCTCATCTATTTGTATGCTAGCCCCTGATGAGGCACACACTTATGTCCTTCCTCCTGGGTCCCATGGGCATGACTTGACCCTCGTCTCCTGTTCGAGCTGCCTGCGTTTTGTCCAGGTCAGCAAGCATCTGTTGCTCCAGCTCTGTCTCCTCACTCTGATGTCTGGCTTCCTGCTCCATCCATGTCTCCTCCAACCTCCACAGTGCTGGATCTTTAGTCACTGCAGATACCTCTGCTGGATCATCTATGACCCCATCTGCTTGGTCACTGCATGCCGTATAGGAGAAAAAGGGACCCCCTCTGGCTGCTGGTTTGGAGCAGGTGACCCATTGTGCCTCATGGCATGTGAGTGCATCCTGGCCACCAACTCCAATTTCTCCTGATCAGCAGCAGGTAGACTTCACTGCGCATACAGGCCCAGAAGCCACTCTTCATGAACCGCTTGTAATTTGTGCTTGCTAAATAGCTTTTACCTGAGACAAACTAACAGACCTGCTCTTGCTTTCAATTTAAAGAGCAAAAGTATAAGCCTTTGCAACAGTGTTGTAAAAATCTTCACGTACTACTGCACTGCCACCATTCTGTCACAGATCCTAGAAAGCGCCCCTTCCTGGCTACCCCCTAGAACTGCTGTGAGGGGAATCTGAGCTTCTGTGCTCTGGATTCCCAGGGTGTTTCAAGCTCCAGAAGCCTGAATGGAATCGAGCCACTACCCCAGTCTGTAGGTCCCTAGGCATGCTGCTATTGTCCAGCCAGCCAGGGTGTTGGTCTTTTTTGGGAGGGACCCAAATGCTCTTCGTTATGTCACTGCAGGTCTCTTAGCTGCTGATCTGTTCTTCACCAGCCAATTGTCTCTTAGCTGCTGATCTGTTCTTCACCAGCCAATTGTCTCCCCCTCCTCCTCCTCCATTTAGGAAACTGGAGTTGTTCCTCTTCTGATGTCAGCAGCAAGTAGGAAGAATTTGTTATTCCAATAATCAAAATGGAGGCAGACGAGAGATTACTCCTTTCCCCCAAGACCCAAGATTTGTTTGTTTGTTGGGCAACAAAATGGCAAATGAAATTTAATGTGGATAAATGTAAAGTAATGCACATTGGAAAAAATAACCCCAACTATACATACAATATGATGGGGGCTAATTTAGCTACAACAAGTCAGGAAAAAGATCTTGGAGTCATCGTGGATAGTTCTCTGAAAATGTCCACGCAGTGTGCAGAGGCGGTCAAAAAAGCAAACAGGATGTTAGGAATCATTAAAAAGGGGATAGAGAATAAGACTGAGAATATATTATTGCCCTTATATAAATCGATGGTACACCCTCATCTCAAATACTGCGTACAGATGTGGTCTCCTCATCTCAAAAAAGATATACTGGCACTAGAAAAGGTTCAGAAAAGGGCAACTAAAATGATTAAGGGTTTGGAATGGGTCCTGTGACGGGTTGGATCACAGAAACCCCCTTGGGAGCTGCCACCCGATGTGCCAAGACTACCCCTGCTTCTGTTTTCCCTGCCAGCTCAGGACTCCAGCACCCTGTCTTGCTGAGCGAGTCACCCCAGTCTGGCTCCAGACACAGACCCAGGGTCTGAATCACTTGTCCCGAAGCTGCAAGTTTACCTAAAAACAGCTCACAGGAGTGTGCTTGTCTTTAGCACTCAGATGCCCAACTCCCAATGGGGTCTAAACCCAAATAAATCCGTTTTGCCCTGCATAAAGCTTATGCAGGGCAAACTCATAAATTGTTCGCCCTCTATCACACTGATAGAGAGGTATGCACAGTTGTTTGCTCCCCCAGGTATTAATACATACTCTGAGTAAATTACTAAATAAAAAGTGATTTTATTAAATACAGACAGTAGGATTTAAGTGGTTCCAAGTAGTAACAGACAGAACAAAGTAAGTCACCAAGCAAAATAAAATAAAATGCACAAATCTATGTCTAATCAAACTAAATACAGATAATCTCACCCTCAGAGATACTTCAGTAAGTTTTTCTCAGACTGGACACCTTCCAGGCCTGGGCACAATTCTTTCCCCTGGTACAGCTCTTGTTGCAGCTCAGGTGTTAACTAGGGGATTCTTCATGATGGCTTCTCCATCTCTCTCTTCTGTTCCACCCCTTTATATATCTTTTGCATAAGGCGGGAACCCTTTGTCCCTCTGGGTTTCCACCCCCCCTCACTGGAAAAGCACCAGGTTAAAGATGGATTCCAGTTCAGGTGACATGATCACATGTCACTGCAAGACTTCATTACTCACTTGCCAGCACACACATATACAGGGAGACTCACAGGTAAACAGCCATCTGCAGACAATGGGAGTCATCAAGATTCCAAACCATCATTAATGGCCCACACTTTACATAATTACAATAGGCCCTCAGAGTTACATTTTATATTTCTAGTTTTAGATACAAGAGTGGTACATTGATACAAATCAGATGATCATACTCCGTAGATTATAAGCTTTGTAATGATACCTTACAAGAGACCTTTTGCATGAAGCATATCCCAGTTACGTTACATTCACTTATTACTGTATTTTCTCTAAAACTATCTCAGTTACATTATATTGACTGATTATGGTTTTATAAAAACTTGATATAGACTGCACAACGTCACAGGTCCCATATGAGGAGAGATTAAAGAGGCTAGGACTCTTCAGCTTGGAAAAGAAGAGACTAAGGGGGGATATGATAGAGGTATATAAAATCATGAGTGATGTGGAGAAAGTGGATAAGGAAAAGTTATTTACTTATTCCCATAATACAAGAACTAGGGATCATCAAATGAAATTAATAAGCAGCAGGTTTAAAACAAATAAAAGGAAGTTCTTCTTCACGCAGCGCACAGTCAACTTGTGGAACTCCTTACCTGAGGAGGTTGTGAAGGCTAGGACTATAACAGAGTTTAAAAGAGAACTGGATAAATTCATGGTGGTTAAGTCCATTAATGGCTATTAGCCAGGACGGGTAAGGAATGGTGTCCCTAGCCTCTGTCTGTCAGAGGGTGGAGATGGATGGCAGGAGAGAGATCACTTGATCATTGCCTGTTAGGTTCACTTCCTCTGGGGCACCTGGCATTGGCCACTGTCTAGATACTGGGCTAGATGGACTTGTGGTCTGACTTACCCGGTATGGCCTTTCTTATGTTCTTATGTTTACTTTATCATTCACTTACTTTGCCAAAAGAGTAAGTGGCAGAGCCACACTTCATTCAGAGTGTTACCATATTCGGTAAAATTTCCAGAAACATGGGCCTATATTTCTAAATCCATACATAGGCACTTAAATAAGTGGCCTGACTTCAAATATGCTAAGTACAGAATAATTCCAATTAATCACTTAAGTGCCTAAATTTAGGCACCCATTTTTGAAAATGTCTGCCTTTTACTTTAAGTGTGTTGTTTTTTTCTTTTTAATGTATGTTAGTTCATTGTGAAGGACTCAGTGGAAGAAAATATGCTGAAAATCCAGAACAAGAAGAGGGAACTTGCAGCAGGAGCCTTTGCAGCTAAAAAGCTTACTGTTAGTGAAGTAAAACAAACCAAGATCAATGAAATTAAGACTCTGATTGATTTATAATTTTGTAAGAGGGTAGGTCAATCATTCTTTCTGAATAAAGGATATAGTACTATAGTTGATGTGGCATTAGTTTTTATGTGCACACACTCCATGTTGTTTTTATAATTATGCTGTTAAGGTACTTTGGCAGATAGAATGTAGACCTGTGAAATCAGCCGACAAGGATAAAAATTGGTTTGACTATTTAAATTTTAATTAAAAAAATTCTTTAAATATTTTTGTACTCATTAAACTTATAATAAGTCATATTTCAAACATTACAGCATTTCTGTATACAAGTAGTTTATTTGAGACGAGGACCAAAAAAAATTCAAAACAGAATTATATAACTTATTTTACTGTGCATTCTTATTTGTAAATTTCTGACCTATTTCTAGACTGAAAATGCAAATTGTATTTTTCTGGCGTTGAAAATATGACCATCTGCCCCCCCGCTCTCCTCCAAATAGAAACATTAAAAAATGTAAATAAAATGCAGACTAGAACATAACTTTTTTTAACCAGTCAGGTCTTGTTCATTGTGTTTCAGGACTGATAGTTTATAGTAATGGCAAAACTAAAAATGTGTAACTCCTTGTGAAGACTGATATTTAATTATGGATTTATTTTCTGTCAGTCTGTATAGGTTCTAAAATATTTTATAAGTAAAATATAGAGGAAGACACTTTTGTGTATAATGTACAGTTGCAACAGGGAATGAATGCTTCTCAAGAGTCTCCAGGATTTTATCAAAGTGAACTATTTTAACTGTAAATGTAAAATACTTACATTTAATGTTTTCCTTCTGTTAACAATTCCATTTAAGTGTTTACAAATTGTAATTCTATATGAATTTTTTTTTTTTTGGCGCTATGTGGGAAAGAACACGTAAATTCTAGTTTTGACATTCGTACTATTACATGTAACCAATCCATGTGTTTGGATTTTGGAATATGCCACTGTATATAGATTTGCTGTATGCAGTATACAAGTATGTTGTGCTTTTTTTGTAACCCCACTTGGACCTTGGAGAAAATAACTAAAATTTCTTTTTTTAAATGGTTAGAAGCTTTATAATTTTTTCCCCCAACACTAAATACTTTTTTATATAAGTTGGAAGATGCCATGTGGAACACTGATCTGTCTAGAACTTGATTTACAGGGGAAGGAGCAATTTGATTAAAAATTACTCAAATGCTAGTTGAGAATCTATAGTTCTGTTCTTTCAAACTTATTAAATAGCACCAAAGAGCTGAAGTTGGATATCACCTCTTCCACCTACCTCGTCCCAGTTGCCTCTGTTCCCAGACATATGCTTCCTTACTGCTCCATGCTGCCCTCCAATGTGATAACTGACACCTGGCTCAACTAGCATGGGCTCAGAATCAGAAGCAGGGAATTGTGTGTCTGGGAAAATTCAAGAAGGGTTTCTAGTAACAGGGAAGTGGGTCAAAATTTGCTTTTGACATGTTCCTCTTTCCATTTACCATCAGCTGGTCAATATTCTAGGTGTTACAATTTTGCACTAACTGAATAGCAACTGCACATCCAATGATATTAGTTTTGGGTGAATAGTTTAAATTCTTAAAATTAAATATAAAGGGTAGAAGTTCCTATTCTGTTCAGATATAAAATAACAGATCCAAAGCCATTATATTTATATCTTTCCTTCTGGTTTAATGGTCCTAACAGGAAGGGTTACTTAACATGACTGGATAATTCCATGATGGTGGCAATATTTATTTAGTCTATTACCATAGTGCCCAAAGGCACTCAATCAAAATCAGGGCCCTGTTGTGCTAGGTGCTGCATAAATAGGTGGGAAAACATGATTCCTGCCCCAGCAGGTTACAAATATAATTTAAAACAAGATGCAACAAGTGTGTGTAAGAAACAATAGTATGGAATGGGGAGGGAGGATGAAGCTAACTGGTAATTCACATTTACCTAGTTATTTGTATGAATTTACCTTCTACCTAGCTATTATCAGTTGATGACTTCATGCAGGTCTTACAGTACAAATGTGTCTTAGGGAGAAGAGGGTAGGACCTTCATAAACTAGGTAGGGGTGGACATTTTATGCACAAAGCATGGAGGGGAAGAACTATATGAGGGCATGACATAAGATACACGTACAGATAAGTTGGAAGGGCCTTGGTGATGAGGACAATATGCTTGAACTCTGTAAAATGAGGAGCCAGTTGAGGGACTCAGAGGAGTGATATGGTGAAGGCAGACAAAAAAAGCATGATTTTTAACAGCTTTGTTTTGAATTGACTTGTATGGCTTAATACAGATTGTTAGGGAGAAGTTGGTTGAGGAGATGATGGCCTGGGTGAGAGTTTTACTGTGTGGTGAGAAAGAAAAGGCCAGATTTTAGAGATGTTACAGAGGAAGAACTGACAAGATTTGGATGCTGCCTTGATATGTGGGGTAAGACAGAGAGAGGAATCATAATAGCCAGTTCTACCACCACTAGTAACAAAGGCCTGGTCTACACTACGAGTTTAGGTCGACTTTAGCCGCGTTAAATCGACTTAAGCCTGGACACGTTTACACTACGAAGCCCTTTCTGTCGACTTAAAGGGCCCTTTAAACCGGTTTCCTAACACCACCTCGACAAGGGGATTAGCGATAAAATCGACCTTAGGGGGTCGGAATTGGGTTAGTGTGGACGGAATTCGACATTACTGGCCTCCGGGAGCTATCCCACAGTGCTTCATTGTGACCGCTCTGGACAGCACTCTCATCTCAGATGCACTGGCCAGGTAGACAGGAAAAGCCCCGCGAACGTTTGAATTTCATTTCCTGTTTGCTCAGCGTGGAGAGCACAGGTGACCATGCAGAGCTCATCAGCACAGGTAACCATGATGGAGTCCCAGTCCCAGTCCCAGGATCGCAGAAGAGCTCCAGCCTGGACCGAACGGGAGGTACAGGATCTGATCGCCATCTGGGGAGATGAAGCAGTGCTCGCCGAACTCCGAAACAGTAAAAGAAACGGCAAAACATTAGAAAAGATCTCCAAGGCCATGAAGGACAGAGGCCATAACAGGGACGCGCGGCAGTGCCGCGTGAAAATTAAGGAGCTAAGGCAAGCCTACCACAAAGTCAGAGACGCAAACGGAAGGTCCGGGGCAGAGCCGCAAACATGCCGCTACTACGCGGAGCTGCATGCCATTCTAGGGGGTGCAGCCACCACTAGCCCAAGCGTGTTCTATGAGTCCCTCTCTGCAAACGGGGAAGCGGGTTCGGCGGACGAGGAAGATGAGGATGGAGAGAACATAGATAGCTCACAGCAGCAAGGAAGCGGAGAAACCAGTTACCCCAACAGCCAGGATATGTTTGTCACCCTGGACCTGGAAACAGTAACCCCCGAACTGACCCAAGACCCTGAGGGCACACAGGGGACCTCTGGTGAGTGTACCTTTGTAAATATTACACATGGTTTAAAAACAAGCGTGTTTAATGATTAATGATTAATCTGCCCTGGCAATCGCGGCCAGTACAGCTACTGGAAAAGTCTGTTAACGTGTATGGGGATGGAGCGGAAATCCTCCAGGGACATCTCCAGAAAGCTCTCCTTCATGTAATCCCAAAGCCTTTGCAAAAGGTTTCTGGGGAGGGCTGCCTTATCCCGTCCGCCATGGTAGGACACTTTACCACGCCAGGCCAGTAGCACGTAGTCTGGAATCATTGCATAACAAAGCATGGCAGCGTATGGTCCCGGTGTTTGCTGGCATGCAGACAACATCCATTCCTTATCGCTCTTTGTTATCCTCAGGAGAGTGATATCATTCACGGTCACCTGGTTGAAATGGGGCAATTTTATTAAGGGGACATTCAGAGGTGCCCCTTCCTGCTCTGCTGAACAGAAATATACCCCGCTGTTAACCACGCGGTGGGGGGGAGGGGTGAAGTGACCATCCCAGAGAATTGGGTGTGAGGGGGAGGGGAGTTAGTTGGGTTTGTGCTGCATGTTAAACCTGAAATCGCAGCCCCTCCTTTTACATTGCAAACCCATTTTAAATGGCACGGGTGCTTGGTATGGGAAATGAGGGCAGAACTGTTTGAAACCATCCCCACATGTTAAGAAGGTTAAAAAAGCCCAAAGACTATATGTCTTACCATGGCTGCCTGCAAGCTGAAATCTGTGTCCTGGCACTGCGTGAGTGATCTCTCACACCAAACCAGGAGACTCTCAATATAAGAGGAAAAATGCGACCTTGTAACGAAAGCACATGGGCTGTGTGATGTTGTGAACAGCAAAATCTAACGTGAAAGAGTCTACCCATTGTTCTCTAAAATGTATCTTTTTTAACAACCTCTCCCTTCTCCACCAGCTGCAAATCTTACTCCTTCGCAGAGGCTAGTGAATATTCGAAGAAGGAAGCGAAGGACGCGTGACGAAATGTTTACTGAACTTCAGACTGCCTCCCACGCTGACAGAGCACAGCTGAATGCGTGGAGGCAGTCAATGACTGATTTTAAAAAAGCCCAATATGAGCGAGAGGAGAGGTGGCGTGCTGAAGATGAGAAGTTGCGTGCTGAAACGCGGGCTGAAGAGGAGAGGTGGCGTCAACTTGTAATCAGAAAGCAAGAGTCGATGCTCCGGCTGCTGGAGCATCAAAGTGATATGCTCCTGCGTATGGTTGAGCTGCAGGAAAGGCAGCAGGAGCAGAGACCGCCGCTACAGCCCCTCTGTAACCAGCAGCCATCCTCCCCAAGTCCCATTGCCTCCTCACCCAGACGCCCAAGAACACGGTGGGGGGGCCTTCGGCCACCCACTCACTCCACCCTAGATGATTTCCATAGCAATAAGTTTTAAAGTTTTAAATTGGAGTGTGTCCTTTTCCTTCCCTCCTCCCCCACCCATCCCGGGCTACCTTTCCAATTATCCCCCTAGTTGTGTGCTGAATTAATAAAGAATGCATGAATGTGAAGCAACAATGACTTTATTGCCTCTGCAAGTGGTGCTCGAAGGGGGGAGGGTAGTAGGGGAGGGTGGGGTGGTTGGTTTGCAGGGAAGTAGAGTTAACAGGGTGGTGGGGGAGGGGCAGAGGGTTCATCAAGGAGCAACAAACAGAAGTTTCACTCCGTAGCCTGGCCAGTCACAAAACTGGTTTTCAACGCTTCTCTGATGCGCACCGCGCCCTGCTGTGCTCCTCTAACCGCCCTGGTGTCTGGCTGCGCGTAATCAGCGGCCAGGCGATTTGCCTCAACCTCCCACCCCGCCATAAATGTCTCCCCCTTACTTTCACATATATTGTGGAGCGCACAGCAAGTAGCAATAACAATGGGGAGATTCTTTTCGTTAAGGTCTGAGCGAGTCAGTAAGCTGCGCCAGCGCGCTTTTAAACGGCCAAATGCACATTCCACCACCATTCGGCACTTGCTCAGCCTGTAGTTGAACAGGTCCTGACTGCTGTCCAGGCTGCCTGTGTATGGCTT